GCATTAGCCTACATATTAGTATTATTAGCAGTAGTATCTGTATTATTATTATTATTATTATTATTATTATTATTGGTGTTAATAATAGTTTTATTAGCAGAAGCATTGAAAATAGTATTATTAACTGTAGTATTAGTATTATTAGTAGTAGTATTTAAATTAGTAAGTACTTAAATTTTCTTCCTATTCTTATTATTAGTAGTATTATTAGTTATAGTATATTTATTTTTATTTTTAATATTGTGCTTCTTTCTGATTATTATTATTATTATTACTATAAGTATTCTTGTTGTGATGTGTTGATATACACAAAATAAATATTAAAATAATAAAAATAAGTGAAATAATACAGATATATATGTATAAAATACTCCACACTGAAACGTCTCTGTTTTGGATTAAGTTTAACTAATGACAAAACTCTCCTTATCATTAATGATTTAACGTCTAATTAATAATTAACGCACGCACATAAATTAGTTAATGATTAATGATTAGTATTGTTGTGGTTACAGCGCTGTGCAGAGGGTAAAATGATGGCGTTTATCGTTTAAAAACACAAACAAACAAACAAAACAAACAAACAAAACAAAAAACCTCAAAATCCTTGATTTAATCTCCAGGTTCCCGGATGTTACTGGGCTGGAACAAACTGCGATCATGAATGTGACGTCACTGCCCACTCAGCGCGTTTATTTAGGCAAATCGGAGCACGTGCTCCAGTAAGGAGGATGTGGGTCATAAATATTTCACAGGCGGAACATTTTCTTCAGAAATACATTAAAATGAAGTCGGAGACAGTGACAGGCCGATCAGCAGAGCGCCGAGCAGAAATGGTCGAAATTTTAGTTTATTATACATTTATAAATGTATGAAGCAGCTTGTTTATATATTTCAGTCTGAGTTACATTTAGAGATCCTTCAACATTAAACTCTCTCTCTCTCTCTCTCTCTCTCTCTCTCTCTCTCTCTCTCTCTCTCTCTCTCTCTCTCTCTGTGTCCGTCTCTCTCCTCTCATCTTTCTTCCTTCTCTCTCTTTCTGCCTCTCTCTCCGTCTCTCTCTCTCTTTCTTCCTTCTCCCTCTCCCTCTCTCCCTCTCTCTCTCTCCCTCTCCCTCTCTCCCTCTTTTCTCTCCCTTTCTCTCTCTTTCTTTCTCTCTCTCGTTCCTTCTTCCTTCTCCCTCTCTCTATTTCTTCCCTCTCTCTCTCTCTCTCTTTCTCTTTCATCTCTCTCTCTTTCTTCCTTCTCTCACTCTTTCTCTCTTTCTTTCTTCCTTCTCTCTCTCTTTCTTCTCTTTTCTCTTCCTCTTTTTCTCTCTTTTTTCTCTCTTTCTGTTTCTCTCTGTCTTTCTTCCTTCTCCCTCTCCCTGTCTCTCTCCCTCTTTTCTCTCTCTCTCTCTCTCTCCCTCTTTTCCCATTCTCTCTCTCTCTCTCTCTCTCTCTCTCTCTGTCCGTCTCTCTCCTCTCATCTTTCTTCCTTCTCTCTCTTTCTGCCTCTCTCTCCCTGTCTCTCTCTCTCTTTCTTCCTTCTCTCTCTCTCTCTCTCTCTCTCCGTCCCTCTCTCTCTCTCTCTCTCTCTCTCTCTCTGTATCCTGGAGAGCTGGTGGAGTTCCTGACTCGCCCATAACTGCCTTAAGGGTTCCACACAAACACCGTTAAAGGACTTGTTTTTTCTGTTTAACCCTTCAGTGTCTTTGTTATGAAATGTTGAGCTTCATGTGGAAATAAAAATAAAGTAAATCAAACTGTGTGATTAAAAGGTGAGTTTTTATCACTTCATCCATTATTTATAATTAAATCCAGTCTGTTGGTCGCTGATTTTTTGTTGTGCATTTTTTTGTGTCCAATTCCATTATTTTCTCCCAAAATGTAAATACATGACATACATCAAATAATTCAACGATACCTTTTTTTAGGTTAAACTTTAAAATAAAAACCATTCTACAAAACTTTAAAAGAGCTCAACTCACTGTAAAACTTTTGTCCCCAAGTTCTTACTTCCTCAAATGTCAGGCGGCACAACCAAAATAAAGGAAATAAAGAGGGGCCAGAGTATTGCATCATAAAGAAGACCCCAAGTGACCTTCATGGTGAAATGCCAAGGTCACAGATTTAGTAAGAGTGCGATGTTTGAGTCACAGTTAGAACGGTTCTGTTTACCATGTCAGGTGTTCTGACCTCAGGAGAACCATAAAAATGTGGAATTATTATAATAATATTTGTTGATTGATTTGAAAAAAATGTGAATATAAACTCAGGTGGAAGGACAAAGCTTCTACGGGTGTTTAAGTAGAAGCCTGTTTAATTTGAAGTTAGTCTGAAAAGTCAGGTGGCGCAACCATTCAGTCAGACCAGACCAGCACAGTTTAATAAAGTAACTTCTTCAAGGGTTCTTTTGAAAAGAGAATGGTTCTGCATAAACACTCAAAGAACTGCTTTCATGATTAAACGGTTCTTCGCATTGTTAAATGTTCTTCAGATTGATAGAGAGTGTGTTTTATATGATTCTATATAGAACCTTTTTGAAAATGGTTCTAAATAGCACCAAAAAGGGTTCTTGTGTTGTTACAGCCTTGACATCATTGCAATAGAAGGACCCTTTTTGGTGCTATATAGAACCCTTTTCAGAAAGGTTCTACACAGAACTATCTACCGCACATTCTCCATCAATCTGAAGAACCATCAATTTTAAGAGTGTAATTAAAAGCTTTGATAAGATTCACTATATTTCATCTTTAAAATGCACATAAATAAAAATGTATCTATAAATATATTTGCAAATATAAAAATGCACTTAATGTCATTTTTTATAAGATTTTTAAATATTGACATTTTTGAAAATCTTATTTGTCACTGACTCTTTTAACAAAGTGACAGAAAATCCACATTTGGTAGTAAATAAAAGTATGAATATTGATGTAATGTACATGTTTAGAACACGTTCTGCGGTGTTCCTCCAGCTGTTGGACATGAACGGGACAGTCATTAAAACCTAGACAGCAGGTTAAACTCTGTAATGATCTAAACTCTGCAGAGAACCTGAGAACTTTGATAACTGTTATTAACATCACAACGTTCTCATTGCTTTTATGTTCTTGCGTGATTTTATATTATAAAAATATATTAAAAAATGGATAACAGTGTTTGAATGTATTACCAAACTGCAGACTTCTTCATCTTCAAGGGTTCTTTAGCACAAGCAGTGGTTTTATCTAGAACTACGGCCACTTGAATAGTTTGTGTAATTTAACCCTTCTTCGCTGTGATGGAGAATCTGTTGTATAGGGTTCTTTAAGGATGGTTCTGTAAAGCAGTAAAATGGTTCTAGCACTGTTGCACTTTTAGCAAATAGGGTTCTGTAAAGTACCAGTACCTGTGACACAGTACCTGTGACACAGTACCTGTGACACTTCTTTTATGGTCTTCTAAGGTTCTGTGATAGCAATCATGAAGAAAGAACCATTTATGATGCGCAGTTTTTTCTAAGGGTTCTTTAGTAAAGGCAGTGGTTCCGTATAGAACCATTTGCATGCATAAATGGTTCTTTGCATGGTGAAATCGTTCTGCAGATTGATGGGGAATGTATTGTATATAGGTCTATATAGCACCAAAAAGGGTTCTGCTATTGTTACAAGCTTGTAACAACAGCAGAACCTTTTCTGGTGCTAAATAGAACCATGTACAGCACATTCAATCTGAGGAACCATGTCACTGCAAAAAAAAAAAACAATTTAAGCATGCAAATGGTTCTTTAAGTGTTCATGGTTTTATATGGAACCAGTGCCTTTACCAAAGAACCGTTGAAGAACCTTGTTTAAGATGGTGTGATGTCTGTGGTCTTTAATGAAATAGTGCAGTAGAGCTCAGCGCAGCTGCAGAGTGACTGAGAGCGAATGTGGTGCTTTGGCGGCCTCTGCTGGTGAAAGGGCAGAACGCCACTATCCCGGTTTTCTAATGTTTGCTGAATCTGAAATAACGAGCATCTTATAAACTGTGTTTGCCCCACTGGTGTAACCAGAAACAATTTGCTGATACCGGATGTTTATTAATTAGATTATTTATTAATTAGATTATCGAAACTACCCATAAGCCCTACATATAAAATTGCGCAAGTCATGATATAAGGGCCCAGACCAGCAGAGACCAGCATGGCCAGCATGATCTAAACTAGTCTAAGTTGGACTAGAATAGTTTCTGCTGATCTGGTGCTGGTTTAGCTGGTCACTCCAGCATGGTCTCAACTGGTCTAAGCTGGTTTATGCTGGTTTGTTTTGGTCTGGAGCTGGTTTGTGCATGGTCATACTGGTTGACCAGCATACCAGCATCCAAAACACACAAACATGCTGTTTTTTTGCTTGTGACCAGCAATGCTGGGCTGTGCTGGTTGTTCTTGCAGGGGATCCAAAAAAAGACATTAGGGGGTCCAGTCTTCATCAAACACCCCTGTTCTGCTGGAGTACCTGGATCAGGTGAGCTGGATTTGGCCAAAAATGATTCAAATGTCAGCAACTCGTTTTTTAATGTTAACATAACATTGTAATAAACAACATGGTTTGTTTATGAATGGATATTAAAATGGATGCATCATGAATACAAAATTGGACGTGTGCCAGTGTGGCTCTATAGGGGGCGCCACTGATTGATTTTAATCGTAAAAACTCCGTTTTTACACGTAATTAATGCTAAATATGTCAGTTTTCATCAATTAATGCAATCAACCAAACATGAGATTTAGCAAATGTGTCTTAGTATTACAAATTAAAAGTTTTTTATATAAATGAATAAATAAACGACAAAATAAAAATAAGAGTTAATTCAGATTTTCCTTGAAAATGTTTATGTGTTACTTTAGAACTTTTTTTCTGTAATTTGTAATATTTTTTAACCTTAAAAAGCTCAAAGTCGTTTATTTTAAAATCATCAAACGTGAATTCCGCAGACCTGCCTGACGTCACCCGCTTCGCTCTCACCCGATTGGTGTTTTTTTTTAGTTCGGTCACATGATCAGCTGCGGGAGCAAAGCGGAGCGGACGGGCTGCCGCTGCAGCGGGACTGAAAAGAGTTTTTTGTTTTGTTTAATTTCACCTTCCGCTTCTTTTGATCTCTGATTTTATTCTCCATCTCTTTAAACAGTCTTTCTGTTCATCAAACAGGCCGGACAGCTGTGATTCCGATTAAAGGTGAGCTGTAAATGACTCTATATTTCCTGTAGGCTGACTGTGAGTGTAGCTATATGAGTGTTTGTTGTTGTTCATTCTGCACTTTCATGTTTCACATTTGCGCATTTACGGAGTGAAATCTGCGCCAAAACTGGCTCAGAGTAAAGCTAAGTAAAGCTAACTGAGCCAAATCAGGCTGCAGGATTGTTCATTCTGCTGCAGAGTTTATAGATCTTATAGATCTCACTGACACAACACTCTGGACTGCTGTTCCAAACCCAGATTAGGGTTAAAATCAGCACTAAAAGTAGTTTTTTAGCACTGGATGAACAGAGGCATTACGGTTTAGTCCAAGACTAGGCTTAATCCATGTGTTAACTCATGTATGTTAAGCTGAAGTGGTTAATAAATGCCATTATTTATTGATCAGGCCCCAGTACTAATAGAACTCATAGTCACGTGACCTCACTGTATGGTTTCTAGAGATTAAATTTATCAGAAAGTTTAAAAGCTTTCTGTCCTCACTACACAGACATGGGGCGTTTTCACCGAACAACATATTGCTTACTCATAGCAGAATAGCAGAAGTCTCTCTTAACTAAGGCTGGGCGATACGGTAGAATATATAACATCACGATAATTGATGTTTTCATTTTCATGGTATTGCAACTTTTAGTTTTTGGAGCTGTCAGCAAAAACAGCACTGCTACATTTAAAAAAAGACTGAAAAACCATGAGTGCTAGGATTTTTGTAATTCACAGTCTCTAAAAATGAACTAAGAAGAAGCAGAAAATAACAATCAAAAACTGATTAAAAAAATCAATTAAATAAGATGATGGGGGTGGGTGGGGGGCGGGTGGGGGTGGGTGGGGGTGGTTGTGGGTGGGGGTGGGCGATATCAGCGAAATATCATGATGCTAACATTTTTACAATATGCATCACACATTTTTTTTGAGGTTTAATGACTTGGAACTGACAAATTAGACCACATATAAAAATCCTATAATAATAGTAATAATAATCATATCATATTATATTATACTATTATATATAATATTATTATGTTATAATCATTTAACTTCAATTAAACAGGCCAAATTATGCTCACTTTGTAATGAAATATGCAGTTAGTCAGTGTTTTAGGTGCGGGCGATATCCGCGATACACTCAGAAAAACATATTGTGTTGTAATTTATCACGATAACTATAAAATATTGTTATATTGCCCTCCTGTACTTATGGGCTACTGTCCAATCAGCTACTTGTTACTATGCAGTCATTATGCACTGATTGTTGTTTACAGTCTCTCTGTAATTGGTCTAAATTAAGTCTTTTCTTAATGATCCATTCAGCTGTTTACGTTTATAGTGTTGCTGTTCATACAAATCAAATACTCAGAAAACAGTAATTTGTCTCAATAACAGTAAAATGTCATCATATCATCCAGCCCTCCTTCAGGGACAGTGTGCTGTAGATGCTCTCAGAAGCACTGGTTTCATGTTTATATGCATGTTTGAGGCGCCGTCGTGCAGAACAGAGACTCGGAAAGCTCAGCTCAGCTCAGCTCAGCCTGTGGTTTCCATGCATCAGCCTGTGTTTGTGTTGTGTTTAACGCTTTGTTCAGGCCTCTTAGTGGCCGTTCCACTGGAAAAATGAAAATCAGCTCAACATTTTATTAATATATTCAAGCAAATAAAAATTTCTTTAAAATCTAAACAAAACTTTATATAAAATAGTACCTTTTTCTTCAAGATATTCAAATTTTAGGCTGCAGGGCCTCCAAAGCAGGAGGAGATTGCATGTGCATTGCTGTGAAATAGGCTGAACCACAGTTTCAGGCCTGTTTCTGTTTAACAAAGACTGTCTAAGTAAACTAAACTTGCTGTCAGGATACGCATTATGATAAATGCTGAATGTGATGACCCTCACACACAAATGAATGTTTCATCTGCAGTTAGAAAACTTAGTTTTTCTTTTTTTTAAAAAAAAGACAATTTTTGTTTGTTTTGTTTGTTTTTTCTCTTTTCGTCTGAGTGAATTCCTGATCTGCATGATTAGATCATCTTTCCTATAAAAAGGTTCCTGTAAGAAAAGCCTCACGGGTTCGACTGTAATCCTGTCAGGTTAATCTCATGTTTGTGGTTTGGATGTTTAGTTGTTTAATCAGGTTGAGCAGCCGGTCTGTGTCACACAGCTGCGTTCAGGATGAAACATCAGAGAGCAGCGTGATTAAGTCACGTTACGGTGAACAAACCTGACCACGGCATTTTTTATGACTCAGTCGCCTTCGTTTCCTTTATTTTTCTCCTTATGGCTCCAAAATCACTTCCTCTTTGTTCCTCTGCTATTGTTTGTGTCTGAATGCTGATGGCTGCCGCTTTCTGCTTCATCAGCTGACCATAGAAACGCACACTGCATTTAGGAGGAACAGTGGAGTGGGGTAGGCCCTCACACATACATACACACACACACACGCACACACACACACATATATATGCATATATATATATATATATATATATATATATTTATAAATACACCGATCAGGCATAACATTCTGACCACCTCCTTGTTTCTATGCTCATTGTCCATTTTATCAGCTCCACTTACTATATAGGTGCACTTTGTAGTTCTACAGTTCTCTGATACTTTGTTAGCCCCCTTTTACCCTGTTCTTCAGTGGTCAGGACCCCCATGGACCCTCACAGTGCAGGTACTATTTGGGTGGTGGATCATTCTCAGCACTGCAGTAACACTGAGGTGGTGGTGGTGTGTTAGTGTGTGTTGTGCTGGTCTGAGTGGATCAGACACAGCAGTGCTGCTGGAGTGCAGTTTTGTGTTTAATCCAGTTGTGAAATTTGTGAATTGTTATGTGTTTTTAATATGAAAGTGATTCTAAACGTGAATGAACATTTTCTGTTTTCTTCCAGGACCAGTTTAGGTTTTCTCTTCCAGATGTGTTGAAAAACGTCACAAGAATGAACAGAATGTCTGATATTCCCTATGAAAAGGTACCAGATATGATCTTATTATCTTCAGTTTGTTCATTTTTACAGTTAATAATGAATCAACACTGATATCACAGTTTAACTCTACGCTAAATCTGCGGTAAACTGGTCCTATATGTGTCTGAGATTTTTCTTTACAAAGAATTTTGCTGAATTAATTTTGTGATTTATTTTCCCTCCAGATGGCGGATGTGGAGAGGAGTAATGTGGAGTCTCACCTGAAACCTCAGAAGGTACCAAATCAAACAGATTCTCTCTCATGTAAATTAATAGTTTGGCAGAAATCAAATTTACTCTACACTCTCAGAAATAAAGGTACTAAACTGTCACTGGGTCAGTTCCCCTCCTGTCACTGTGGTGGAACCCTCAAGGCTCCATCTCAGTACCTTTAGTCAGGGAACATAACTGAACCATAATCCACTGAATGATATGTTCTAAGCTGTACTGACTCCACACACCCCGTCTCGTCTCCAGGCTTTTATTTTACTGTTCTGTTTAAAACATTCGGTTATGAAAAGGTACAAATACGAACTTTTCACCTGGAAAAACTTATTTAAGGTTCACAATCAGACCTTAAAACCACTGTTGGAGCTTTGAGGAACATTTACACTGTTTGGACCTTGAAGAACAAAAGTGTACCTCCACAGAACCTTTATTACTAACAGTGTAAATGGGAGTTGGACATGCATAAGAAAATGCGTACAGTGCTGCAGAAAAACCTTGGAGACATGAAAATATTAGAGGTAAAATCCAGTTAATCTGGACAATAAGTGTTCATTTATTAAAAAAATATGTATAATATAGTGTGTATATAATAACATATAATACATGATATATATATATATATATATATATATATATTATATATATATATATATATTATGTCTCATATATGTAATATCAGAATAAACATAATTAATATTGATGTAGTAAGTAGTGATTTTATGTGTCACTGGCGGTTTACAAGCAAAGATTTTCTTCGATCTGATTCTCTGAGCTTCAACAGAGAAACCATTTCACCAAGAACCACTTACACATGCAAATGGTTCTTTGACAGTTCATGACTCTGTATAGAACCATTGTCTCTACTAAAGAACCCTTGAAGAACCAGATTTCTAAGGGTGTTTTTACAAGCATTAAAACACTTTTTGCCCAGATAAATGGTTTTAAACAATGAGCTTAAGTGCCTAGTCGGAACACAGTACTGTGCTTTTTTATATTTTTCAAAATCTGTATATAATCAGGGCTTTATTTGTAAACGGAGGTCCTGAAACACTGAATGGTGACAGATGTAGCAGGCAGAAGGAGGTGGGGGAGGATCCTAGAACAAACCTCAGCATGAAGGTTCCCCATTATGTTAAATATTACAAGTAACAAGCCTCTTAATGAAGTTATTAGACACTTAAGCACTGAACTTTCTCACACATGGCAACTAGGTCTGTATATCTGTGGGGTAGCCTTATGTCTTTTTGTTTCTTTTGTTTTTAGGTTTAGTTCGTTTTTCCTCAGTAGTTTTGTTTGTTATTTTGGCAAAAGCTTTCACACTTTACACATAAGGTGAAGTGAAGAGAGGTGTGAAGGGTGCCGGGTTGGTCTGAGCAGGTGTTCTTCCAGGTTGTATCAAAGGGGAAAGAGCCTTGAAAGTCTCGCAAGATGGTGGCTCAGCAACCTCTTATACTGCAAGGCACCCCTGAGTGGCCAATCATAGACCTGCACATCATAAAAAATGAGGGAAAACACAGAAAATAACCACAAAAAGACACAGAACAGTAACTACGACCGGGGGTCGTAACACAGTGGCTCCAGTTTATTAGTGTCATTGAGCTCTTGTGAAGGATGATCAGCTGCAGTGCTAGTTGCGCAGTTGCGAGTGATAAACAGCATCAGTGGTGTTTTTATTGCTGCTTCTCTCACCGCACACCAAACAGGAAGTTGAGAGTGTGTGTCCTGTCTCACGGTGACACAATGCTGTTTTTTTATCTAACTTCTCTACATGTTGTTGTGTTATATCTACTGTTTGTAAACAATGTTGTGAGTTCTCTTGATGTATCTCTACAGATCAGTAATTGAGTGTATTTACTATATAAATAAGGTGCTGAATCCAGATCTGGCTTTTTCCAGCACTAATTAAGCCCTGTTTATTATCCTTTTGAGGGATTTCTCTGTCTAATACGACGTGTTCCTCATGTTCTGTGTGACGTGGTCCGTCTGTGTGCAGTATTACAGGTGTTTGCTGATCGTTACCTGTCTCTCCCTGGTGCTGCTGGTGCTGTTTGTCCTTCAAACTCTCCTGGTTCCCACGGCTACCTCCTCATCCGGGCTGAAGGTGCACCTGCCCATCAGGGACACCTGTACTGACCCCTGCAGGTGAGAATGAAACTTATTTTTCTTGCTTCCACAGTTGCAAACCAGTCATTCTAATCCTAATATAAACAGGGAAGTGATGAAAGACCGTCACTGTGAGTCGTTAACTAGGGGCTGTATAAATACAGTGTGCATTAATTTGTTGTGGATGCTTTAAATCATTTTGTAATGAGTCAGTCCCACAGTCCAGCATGTCCACTCGATTTACTAAATGCGTTAATGTGTTCTGCTAGATTTGGCTTCACAGTGCGTCAAACCAATCGCAGTGTTTGGGAGAATTTTCTGTTCATTTTTTCATGGGAACTGCACTGCAGTTGTGGTCCATCAGGTAGTTTGGATGCTATAGACTAAATCCGAAAGTTGTTTAAAAAAGGGGGCCTTACAAAGTGCAAAATGCCCAAACATTGTTTAGTTTGTGGCTGTAATGTCTGACGATTGTGAAATCTGTCGCTGCAGCCGTACACAAAAGCTCCTGCTGGTGTGGGTTCATGAGCGGGTTTCATCTTTTGTAACGATGCACAAAAATACTGTTTTAGTGCATGTAACATACATTAGGGAATTATTTTGAAGAAAATGAATTCTTAACTTTACATAAAATGACCCCCTCGTTTTTAAAAAAAAAATTCTCTCCCCAGTTTAGTCGTCTCCAGTTCCACCCATTAGTTAGGACTCCCCCAGTCACACCGTACCACCAGCACTAGGAGGGCAAGGCAAACACAGGCTTCCTCAACGTCCTGTGAAGCTCCGCATCTTTTCAAACTGCCACTCACGCAGCGTCACTGTACAGCCGAACACGCTCGGAGGAGACGCTAACCGCCAGATCTGTTATGTAAACATACATAAATGCATACTTATAGAACTTCATGATAGAAGCAAAGTCGTCACATCTTCAGTTCCTTTCAGCCACTCCTCACTGTACCTGTGTGTAATTCTAAATAAAAGAAACCTAAGAAGGATTCAACCAGTGTGTCATTGTAAGAGAGTGAGGTGGACGTCAGTGCTGAACGTTAATATTTTGTTGTGTCAGATAATAAAGAGAAAATTTGGATTATCTTTTTCCAAAAAATTTACACCAATGGACAATCCCAGAACGTATGCATGCCTAAAGTATTATCATTGCAGAATGTACAGTAGGGATTGGAAGCTGGTCCCATCAAATGCCTTTTCTGCAGAGATAAATACATTTTATAACACTTTTTGAAATGAATTAATGATGAAATTCTGTACATTTCTTTTTAAAATTGCCATTAAAATTCAAATCTTTTACATGTACGTTCTTTAAAAAGATGGTTCCTCAGCGCTTCTTTAGTAAAGAAAATGATTCTAAATAGAACCATGAACACTCAAAGAACCATTTGCATGTCTAAGTGGTTCTTTGCATCATGAAACGGTTCTTCAGATTGATGGAAAATGTGCATTAATGTGCTATAGACGGTTCTATATAGAACCTTTTTGAAAATGGTTCTATATAGCACCCAAAAGGGTTCCTGTATTGTTATAAGCTTGACACCACAACAATAGCAGAGTCCCTTTTTGGTGCCACATAGAACCATCTACAGCACATTCTTCATCAGTGTGAAGAACCCTTTCATGATGCAACCCTTTCATGTTGCTTCTGTTATGTTTTGTACATTTTCAGTTTTGATTTCAGTGCCACAGTATTTGAATTTGTGCTGTAACTCTTGCAGCTTTCTTAGGTTTTACGTACAGTCCTACTTATGAGGGATGCAGTAATAATATTTTCAGTTTTAATGTGATTTTCAGTGTTGAGGTCAAGATTTGATCAGTTTTTTCTGTATTAAGTGTTCTGCATTCTACAGAGCTCTATTTCTAATATGGGTGTGTCCACACACAATGTCTAGTTTTGGTTCTTATCAGTGGTTTCAGTCAGAGACAGTAAATGAGGCGCTCTGTAGAGGGAGGTGGTCGCTGTTTGTACAATCACTAACTATTTTTACATGCTGTACTGAAGTCTGTACACTCCCACAAACTTGTGAAAGAGTGAATGTGCAAGACAGACACACCAGCAGTAAAGCCTCTAATGTGAACAGACCCTAAAGGGGAATTCCGGTAACTTTCCAATATGTCTGCATAATGCAGTTAATATGTAATCAGAGGGGTTCAGAGCGGTTCAGAGTGGTTTGGTGTGAAACGCTCTGTTCTAGATAAACTTACCGAGTCAGAACTGTTCAGTGGTGGTGATAGGAACCAGACATCCACCTCTAAAAGCTCCCTCACAGAAGGTTACTACATGAAATGGTTATGAATTCACTGCCTGATGACTGAGACACTGTTTTATGATAGTTTAGAGAACTTAAACTCCATTCATGGTGGAGGGATACATGCAGGGCGCTGTGAGGCAAAATAGTCTCCAAAGAAAACTTATTATTTCAGATTTTCCACTATTTTCCATCATCACCTTTCCATATAAACTCAGAAGACTCGTGTAGGTTCACTGGTGGTTCTGGATAGTAAATAAAATGTCTATATTTGTGTTGTAGTCATGGCGACCCCTGGTTCCTATCAACACCACTGTAAAGACATCTGAACCATTTCACACCAAACCGCTCTGAATCACTCTGATTACATCAGAAAGACTGAGTTATGCAGAGAACTGGGACAGTCAGTGGAATTCCCTCTTTAGGAAATCACTCTTCTGTTTTGTGTGAGTAAAGTGTGCTGGGAGGATTCTGGAGAGCTGTTGCACCACAGAGGCTTCTCAGCCGCTTTAACCAAACCGGCTGCAGTTTCGAAAAACTCCTACTTCTGCTTTTGTGTGTGCAGAGTGAGGTTTGATGTACTGTTTCTAGGGCTGGGCGATAAAACGATAACGATAAGTATTGCGATATAACTTTTCCTCGATAGAGCGATAAGACAGGTTCGATAAATGTTCAATATAATACACCACTCTCACACTTCCACGTTTTAGCGGAAGCCCTGGTGGCGCTTTCTACTGCAAGGAAAGCGACACTACTCTGCTGTCGCCAGGAGAGGGCGCACTTCCGAGTTTTTCGACTTGATTAGAGAGGGAGGGGGCCACGAGTAAAAAAAAGGGTCGCCAAATATACTTTAGCAACGGCTGAAACGCGGAGTTATACATTTCCTGTCTGAGTGGAGCGACCGGCGATCTGTTCTCCTGTGACCGAGTGTGAGTGACGAGGTCAGTGGTGTAACTGTACTGTCCTACGGTGAACTCACCTCTTTACTAACATCCTAACAGCTTTAGCGGTGTTAAATCACGTCTGCAGCGCCGTGTTACAGCGCCAAACCGCCATATTTTAGTATCAGTACATTCTCGAGCAACGAAAGTGAAAGAAAGAAGTGGTTCATGTTTGAAAGTAAACTGAGGAAGCTGTGAGGCGTTGGAGAGCGGGAGAGCGCTGTCTTTCCAGGCTAGCTGTTTTTAGCTGCTGGCTAACTTGAAGCAGCGCTCCGGCACAACACGGTGAATTGATGATACTGTAGATCAAACACGACACAAAATCACTGCTTTCAGTTTAAACATGCCTAAAAGGAGGACTCTGTGACTGGAGTGAGAGATTCACACTGCAGATAATGCTTTTACACAGCGAGCGTCAGATATACTGCGGTTCACCCCTCAAACTACTGCGATAGCATAGAGAAACCCAGCCGTCTAGCTGGGGTCTGAATACTGTGATATGCTCTGACATGGATGTGGTAGGAGTGACCGCAGTGACCTACCGAACCGAGTTGACGTTGTTGAGAAACTAAAGAGTTTAGCTCTGTTGTTGGCCACTTGTTTAGCGTTTGTAGCGGGGTAGCCGAGCGCTCGACACCAGACAGCTAAAATAATCTGTTTTCTTTCTTAAATCATGACTATTACAAAAATTGCAGCTGTGCTTTTCCAGCTGATAAAAACAGCTCAGAAACTTTCTCCCACTGTCCCAAGACAGATTAGTGAAATGTTCCACTGTTTGCCGAGTGTTTGTTATGATCGGACCATAAGTGATAGTTTAACACCACAGTTAACCCCCCAGTGCAAAATCAGCCTTCAAACGTGAAAGAAATCATGATTTGACATTTATCGTGATATGTATCGATATCGAACGATATGAATTTTGTTTATCGTGATAACGTTTTTGGCCATATCGCCCAGCTCTAACTGTTCCCATGAAAGTGTCTCTGCTTCACCTGTGCTGTTTTTGCAGAATAGTTTTGGTGGAGAGCATTCCGGAGGGTCTGGAGTTTAACTCCTCCGTCGCCCATCCCTCCGTCTATCAGACCTGGCTCAACCTCATCTCAGACGCTCAGAGCAGCCTGGACATCGCCTCCTTCTACTGGACTCTGACCAATAAGGACACGGGCACGCACGAGCCCACAGCCAGTCAGGTGAGAGTGTGTACACATACCAGAATGGACTATGACCATCAAAAGTTTGATATGAATTAGGGATGCATCGATAACGATACTGGTATCGGATATCGCACCGATGCTGTGCTTGTTTACTCGACCTCATAAAAATTCACAGATACCGTACATGCATATCATAAGGATGCAGGTAGTATGATTGGCTATAATTTCATATATCAGAAGTGAAATTATTGGTTACATGACCACAAAACCACACCAGACAGTGATGTAGACAGGAGGACAGTACGGTCTCTCTACAGCAGGGCTGCACAGCTCCGGTCCTGGAGTGCCAGTGTCCAGCAGAGTGATTTACCATCTGTTAAGTACCAAGTTTAGTGAGTGTGTTTAAATATACGCTTAAAACGTTGTTTATTCTAAGGGTTCTTTAGTAAAGAACATGGTTCCACATAAAGCCATGAACACTCAAAGAACGCTTTGCATGATAAAATGGTTCTTTGCATTGTGAAAGAGTTCTTCAGATTGATGGAGAGTGTGTTGTATGTGGTTCTATATAGAACCTTGTTGAAAAGGGTTCTATATAGCACCAGAAAGGGTTCTTTTATTGTTACAAGCTTGACATCAAAACAATAGACGAACGCTTTTTGGTGCTATATAGAACCCTTTGCAGCAAGGTTCTATATAGAACCATAGACAGCACATTCTTCATCAATCTGAAGAACCATTTCACTATGCAAAGAATCCTTTAATCATGCAAAGGCTTCTTTGAGTGTTGATGGTTCTATATAGAACCATGTTCTTTACTAAAGAACCATCTTAAAGTGTGTATACGTCCCTAAAAATTACAACAAAAAACAACCCACATGATTTAAAGGCCAATTTTTGTGATCACTGCGGACAACAATTCTTGATCTTGCAACGTTTCTCAAAATTTGCAGCAGTATTTGTACATGACATAAACTGAAGTGATGCACTTTGGTTCCATTTATAACACCGTGTTAAAGCGTTGATCCCAAGTAAGTTCCCTCTCTGTATTTATATTTGGGTGCAGGAGTATAAATTAGTACTGATTGAATTGCCTTTAGAGTATTTAAACATTAAAACTGAAAGTACTGAGTTATTACAGTTATTATGTTGTGTTACTTTCATGAACAGTTGCTATTAAGAAGATCTGAGAGAGTGTTAGCTGTTCATATCTGTAGCCACTCAGGCCTCCTTAATAAAGCTACGTTCACGTTACGAGCCTCGTCGCTCAAATCAGATTTTTTGCTCAAATCCGATCTCTCTGACAGGATGGTTCACACTCGTTTAGGTAAGTGATTCAGGATACGTATCTGAGTTACTGAGTAGGATGTGCTCATGAGGGTCATTTCAGGACGCCAGTCCGTTCACATTAATGACAGATTTGAATCACTTACCTAAACGAGTGTGAACCAGCAAAAAATCGGATTTGAGCAATGAGGCTTGTAATGTGATCGTAGCTTCAACGAGGCCTCAGCATAAGCGCTGCTACTTGGGAACAGGGCTTCATCTATCATCTGTTTATTTATCTGTCGCTTTAGTTTAGGGCCCCTTTTGTTAATGCAAGTTCTCATCCTCTGTTTCTGTGCTGTTCTGTGTTCTCTGCCTCAGGGAGAGAGGATTCTTCAAGAGCTCGCTCAGCTTTCAGGGAGAATATCTGTGCGAATCGCTGTGAACAAGCAGGACTCTCAACCCCAAGATGATCTGCAGCTCCTCATCAACTCAGGTGAAAACGTGCAGCTGGAGCTCTCACTGAACTGTGTTGATGCTTTTGGTGCAGTTTAGGGTTTTTTTCAAGCTGCTTCTGTTGGCAACTTGTTTACAGTGATAGTTCATCAAAAAATCGTTTTCCCTAAATGTTTTTGATCAGCCAAGACGTGGAGGTACGGGGCTAATTTAGTTAACAAGTAATTTAAACCTAAGGTCTCAGGGAGCACAGCGGAAAATATCTAAAATATTGGTATGAGGTTTGTCTTAAACATCCGGCAGAGCTTGAATAAAAAATATAAGATATAAATATGATAAAACACGACTTAAACACTGCTGATCAGATCTATCAGAGAACTGTGTGGGCGTGGCTAATGAGCAGCTTGATTGACAGCTCTCGGTCCGACACTCTTAGCCTGCTTCGCCCCTCGTACAGAACTAACATCATTAAAAAGTCACGGACGGACCAACAGACGGACGAAGCATCGTCCAAATGAAGGAACGGATGAGTGAACAATGACAGGTGGGCTAGCTTGCTAGCTTTTGGTTACGCTGGGTTAGCTTTAGCTCACTAAGCTTCTCTGATTCTAAAGCTGTTGTCTGTGGGCGGGGCCAGAGACGCAGCCCTGTGATTGGTCAGGGGAATGCTTTTGGAAGCGTTACCCAAGATTAGGACCGCCCAGTTTAAGGCAAGGGAAGTTTATTTATAGAGCACCTTTCAAAGCAAAGCAAAGTTTATATAGCGCTTTTTACAACAGGTGTTGTCACAAAGCAGCTTTACAGAAAGAAAAAAAAAACACTGCTGTCATTCAAAGTGCTTTACAAATGAGAAAATTCAGAGCCAGAGTTGTTTAAAACACGTAAAGCAAACCCAAACAATAATAATAATAATAATAATAATATAATAATAATAGTTTTTATGTATATAGCGCTTTTCATGCCGGTGGCAGCTCAAAGTGTTCTACAGACAGGTGATAAAACATAGTTATACAAGAAATCATTAGTATTTATTTAGAATCAGAAGAAAATGAAACAGATCAAATTAAAAGATAAAAACCATGAGATGTAGAGTTTTAAAGAGCTACGTTTTCAGATGTTTATTAAAAGTGAGCCCTGAGCTCGACTGTCTAATAAAAGATGAACTTGGTGGAGCTTTAAGGTGCTTTAAAGCTTTAAGGAGCTTTAAAAACTAGTAGCAGAACTTTAAAATCTATCCTGAGCGATCCAGGCAGCCAGTGCAGCTCTTTTAAAATAGAAGTGACAAAATAGAAAAACATAATTAAAACATGATTAAAACAAATTTATAAGAGAAAATCATTAAATTAAAATCGAATTAGAAATTAAATTAGGATAGTTAAATAATCAAATTAAAAACTAAAAGTTAGATTAGGATTAAAAAAAAAAGTGCAGTTTACATCGAGAGGAGAGAAATGTGGCGGAATATATCGGCCATTTATTGGTCAGTGGGACTTTATTCAAAGGTAAAACTGAGTACATGTTTACTGTTTACCTTCAAGAACCAGATTAACCTCGTTAGAAAGAAAACACAGATTTAAACTTCACCAATTAGCATGGTGCTAACTGCATGCCCTGCCTCAAACCGTGTGCCGTTAATCTCTAATAGACGTGATTATGTGGTTTCTGACTCTGTATGACACACAGTCATGTATAGGTATGCTTTTAGCTATGCTAAAGTACTTTCCTCAGTACTCTCAGGTGATGATGTAGACAGTTAGCACCATGCTAATTAGTGGAGTATAATCTTCCATTACTTGTTAGCTACATTAGCCTCGTAGCTCCAGGGCTAAATCTAAAGAAGCAGACTTCAGACACCAAACACGTCTCAGCTGATCGAACACATTTAGCGTAAGAAACATTGTGGAAATCAGGTTTTTTACTGAACTGTTGCTTTAAATGCAGAGGCTGTAGAGAAGGACCTTACGCTGATGTGTTCTGACTGCTGCAGGTGCTGATGTGAGGACGGTGAACATGCGGGAGTTAACCTCCGGTGTGCTGCACACAAAGTTCTGGGTGGTGGATAAGAAGCACATTTACATTGGCAGTGCTAACATGGACTGGAGGTCTTTAACACAGGTGACTGCAGTTTATTACTGTCCAACACTGTCCACTGTTAATTGGCTGATTGTTATCAACATTAGAGCAGCAATGATTTGTTGCTTTTTATAATGTAGATTAAGAAAAAATGTTGCCAAAGAAGCACTTTAAGCTTTTCTTGTCCACATGTCAGTTACTTTAAACACAAAAGCGCTCGTTTATGTTCATATGATCCACACAGTCACTCTGACAGACTGTAATACGCTACAGGAAGCGTAGGGGGCGATATGGCTTCTACTGTTTCATATAAAAAGCTCTATAATGTTCATATGATCCACACAGTCACTCTGACAGACTGTAATACACTACAGGAAGTGTAGGGGGCGATATGGCTTCTACCGTTTCATTTAAAAAGCTCTATAATGTTCATATGATCCACACTAATCATGTTTATTGATTATAGAAACAACTGTTAGTTTTAGCCCTGGAGCCATGAGGCTAACACAGCTAATAAATAATGGAAGCTTTATATATCACCAGTTAGCACAGTGCTAACTGTAGACCTAAATCATCTGCTTTGTTATTAATGACCGGTGTTGCGGTCACTCCTCAGGTGAAGGAGCTTGGAGCGGTGGTGTATGACTGCAGCTGCCTGGCCAGTGACCTGGGCAAAATCTTTGAAGCCTATTGGTTCCTGGGTCAGAGTCAGACCATCCCCGCACCTTGGCCCAGCCAGTACACCACAGCCTACAACAAGGACACACCCATGCAGCTGTCACTCAACGGCACGGACTCCAGGGTCTACCTGTCGGTAAGAAGCTACAGACAGATTGCACACAGAAACCAGAAGTGGAACATGTAAAAAAATGACCCTTCATATGCTTTGATTCTAATTAAAAAGATTTAATAAAAAGGAGGTAAAATAGTGTAAAGTCAATTAATAATAAAGTCACTAATGAACAAATTAGTAGAAGGTAATTCCATATGTTTGTATGCTAAAGTTTGAAAAGTGAAAATAAAGGAACACAACTTATAGCCTCATAACTCCGGTGTGTACCTGGTGGATTTGTGTGTCCATCTACATTCTGCGCGAAACTGACCAGTGGACACTAATCACTAAGCCCTGACCATCATGCCAGAAACCCTTCATTCTTCATTCAGGCGCCTCAGACACTGACCTGAAATGGTGTGTAAAAAGCTGCTGCAGCGGTTTTGGAAAGCAGTGATGAGGAGAACATTTATCACTATTTTATTCAAACGTTCAGCACTTTCGGGACCCTGAGACTTTGGTGAACCCGTTTCAAGCACCAGAACAATCCATCCACATGAGTAAAGCTGTGTTTCTGTAAGAAATATTAGGAATTTCTAAAACCAGACTTGAATTTTTCAGATTTATGGCTGAGTTATCTCTGTACACAGTGCTCCAGGTCTAAGGACCTCATTATAGAGAGAGCTGAGATTGTTCTGAACATTTTGATATATATAATATGTGGCTGTCATGTCGCATGCAAAAGGCGCATTTGAAGATATATGCAAAAATCGTCCCCACAGTTAACTGGACGTCCGTTCGTTAGCTTACAGATACCCGAATATCAAAGTTAACCAGAATGCTGATCCCTAATTTTTACTTATTCAAGAATATTATGCAGTAATTCATTTACAGTGTGAGGACCTTTTTCTATTTTGTGTTAAAGTGGAATTTTCAGCATAATTCAGTGTGTGAGATGTAAACAGAGAGATTCAGAGTGGTTTGGTGTGAAATGGTTCAGATGCCTTTACAGTGGTGGTGATAGGAACCAGGGGTCGCCATGACTACAACACAAATATAGACATTTTATTTACTATCCAGAACCACCAGTGAACCTACACGAGTCTTCTGAGTTTATGATGTGATTAGATGTTGATGATGGAAAATAGTGGAAAATCTGGAATAATAAGTTTTCTTTGGGGACTATTTTGCCTCACAGCGCCCTGCATGTATCCCTCCACCATGAATGGAGTTTAAGTTCTCTAAACTATCATAAAACAGTGTCTCAGACATCAGGCAGTGAATTCATAACCATTTCATGTAGGAACTTTCTGTGAGGGAGCTTTTAGAGGTGGACGTCTGGTTCCTATCACCACCACTGTGAACGGTTCTGACTCTGTCAGTTTCTCTAGAACAGAGAGTTTCACACCAAACCGCTCTGAACCACTCTGAACCACTCTGAACCGCTCTGATTACATCTTAACCACTTAATTATGCAGGAATTTTGAAAAATCCCTTCACCTGAACAGATAATGTTTCCTCCCCCAGAGTTCTCCCCCATCTCTGTGTGCTGAGGGCAGGACTTCTGACATTCAGTCCATTCTGAGTGTAATTGATGACGCCCAGAAGTTTGTCTACATCGCCGTGATGAACTACCTGCCCACCATGGAGTACTCCACCCCGAAAAAGTGGGTTTTACAGTCAGCCATTTGGAAAAATCTGTCTTTAAAAGTGATAGTTCACCAAAAAATTCAGCTTATGCAGTTTTCCTCCTTACCCCAAATGTAGTTGATCGGCCAAGCGCTGGACAGTTCTGCACTTTTGGACAAAAGTCAGGCTTCAAGGTTGCTTTTAGCTATGCTAACATACTTTAGTCCATGGGTGCATCTGAATTGACACAGTGATATTCTACGTACTGCATTAGTATATACCAGGGGTCGGCAGCATGTAGCGCTGGAGCTGCATGCAGCTCTTTTACTGCCCTGTTGTGGCTCCACAGCTGAATCAGATTAGTAGGTAAAAATAAAATAATCCTCCTTTACGGTAAAATAAAGCTCTGCTGATCGTTCAACACAGTTTAACAATAAATGGTCTTAAACTCTGGAGTTAATGTAGAACTGCTAATTCACCCTTTAACCCTGAAGATCAGCGCAGACTGCTGGTCACCATAGCAACACAAACAACAGAGACAGAGAGGTTTAAGACGAACATCGATAATTTGGAGACGAATGGACTTATTTAGTGTTTATAATCACTCCAGCTGGTTTCCTGATACGTTTAATCTGCAATGAGAAACTGAAACACTAAAATTTCACAAAGCTGAAGTTGCTTCTCATTCGCCAGCTTCTTGTTTGAATTTTCCCGTTCCACCTTAAAAGGTGCAGCAGTTACATTCTGGCACCTCAGGCACCATTTAGGGTGGAACAGGAAAATTCAAACAAGAAGCTGGCGAATGAGAAGCAACTTCAGCCTCGTAAAAAGTCGAACGTTGAGACATTTTACAAGAAACTGTTCCACTTTTGAAAAGTTTCCTGCCGGAGATGTGAGAGAAACAACTATAGCTGAGCAAAGTAAGTCTGTGTTTTCATTTATATTATACTTTTTAGTCTATACCAGTACATTAACACATACTGAGACATATTTACAGCCAAGATGGTAAAATGGGCATAAAATGTTGTGGCTCCCAGTTTGATTAAAGCTGTGTTTCGTACTACGGGACAGGGGGGTGTTGCATGTTGGGATGCAGTTTGTGATGGAGACAGCTCTGCCTGCCTGCTGGAATATTTTGCCGTAGTAGGTCATCCAGGTATCTTTGGTGCACTGGAGAAATTCATGTTGCTCAGATGTTTACAGAGAACAGTCTGTCATATGATTTTAGTAACCATATAACCATATTAAGTCTATTAAACTCCACATAGTTTGATGCATGGCCGTTAGCACCATGCTAATTAGTGGGATAAAAGCATCAATTACTTGTAAGCTACATTAGCCGCATAGCTCCAGTGCTAAATCTAAAGAAGCGAACTTCAGACACTACATGTCTCAGCTGATCGACTGCATTTAGGGTAAGAGGAGTAAATCTGTACTGCTTTAAAGTGAACGATGAGAACTGAATGTGCTGAATGTGCTGCAGGTACTGGGCTGATATCGACACGGCGCTGAGGCAGGTGGCGTTTGAGCGGAGGGTTCGTGTCCGTTTGCTGATCAGCTGTTGGAGCAGCTCCTCTCCGGTCATGTTCCCTTTCCTCCGCTCACTCGCCTCATTACAGGACAAGAGCAAACTGGACATCGAGGTGGTGAGTGATCATCCTGCAGGGCTTACAGAAAGGATGACGTAATACTTCTACTACTACTACTACTAATAATAATTATAATAATAATGATAATAATACCAAGAGCTATTAGGGAGAAGTTTGTCAACAAAATCTAAGTTGACCTGAAAAAGCCATTGCAGTGAAACCCAGGTGGTTGTTAAGGCTCTTTGCTATATTATCCCAGGTGGTCGCTAAGGTGGCGCTAGGCTGTTGCTATGGAGTCCCAATTGGTTGCTATGGTGTAACTAGGCTCTTGCTATGGTATCCCAGGTGGTTGCTAAGGTGTTGCTAGGCCATTGCTATGGAATCCCAGGTGGTTGCTGAGATTTTGCTAGGCTGTTGTCGTGGAATCCCAAGTGGTTGCTAAGGTGTTGCTAGGCTCTTGCTGTGCTATCCAAGGTGGTTGCTAAGGTGTTGCTAGGCCGTTGCTATGGAATCCCAAGCGGTTTCTAAGGTTTTGGTGTGCTGCTGCTATGGTACCTAGGTGGTTGCTAAGATTTCCTAGGGTGTTGCTAAGGTGTCGCTGGGCCATTGATATGTGTGCATATAGGTGTGCTAGTGTGTATGTATGTATGTGTGTCAGTATCTGAAGTCTGTACATTCCACCTTTCATTTCCTTTGGGGAGAAAAAGGGTTTAAATGAACACTGTATGAAAAACATATTTGTGATTGGTAGCAAAAGCACAAACACACTATTCCTCTATAGACTCTTTGATACTGCAAGTTTCGCCGGTCCAGTCTGAAGACTATGACCTATAAAAACAGTTTAAAAAACGGATAGAATGATAAAAATTAGAACATTAATTTGGCTTTATTGAGCCAACTTAATGAACGTATAGAGCACCTAATAACTATTTTTGTACATAGCCCAGCCTTCCTGCTACCCCTCTCAGACACAGTTGGATGTTCTTCAGAGATAATAGATAGTCAGTAAAGTTAACCCAGTAAAGCACGTGAGGTCAAAACTAACCACACTGTTCATGAAAGCGGTTATTGTGATGTCCTCTGAGCTGGACTGGACGCTAGTGCTGACAGTAAGTTTTAGTCAGTCAGTAAATACCATAAACAGGGGGTCGGTTGTCTTTTGTCGGTCAGAGAAAGAGAAGATCAGCCCCTTTCTCCCGCTGCTCATTGTTTCGTGGTTTTGTTTGTTTTAAAAACTCAATACATTTGACATTTTGTCCAACTTTTAAAGGTGTGGAGCCCCCCCTGCTGGTCAGTGAACTGATTACACAACCCTGTTTTTTTTCTTGTGACCAGGATCATTTTACTCCTGCTTCCTTCCTTCATAATTGTCATGTAATGGTTCAGAATATTACCTATATGAAAAAGTAACGCTTGCTATGTTATCCCAGGTAATTGCTAAGTTGTTGCTAGACTGTTGCTATAGTATCCCTGGTGGTTGTTAAGGTGTTACTAGGCTGATGCTGTGGATTCCCAGGTGGTTGCTGAGATTTTGCTAGGCTGTTGCTATGGAATCCTCAGCAGTTGCTAAGGTGTTGTTGCGCCATTGCTATGTTATCCTAGGTAATTGCTGAGGTGTTGCTAGGCCATTGCAATTGAATCCCAAGTGGTTGCTGAGATTTTGCTAGGCCGTTGATGTGTTGTCCCAGGTGGCTGCTAAGGTGTTGCTAGGCTGTTGCTATGGAATCCCAAACAAAAGCTAGTTGAAAAATCAGATTTAATTTGAGTTATTAGCATAGCTAATACAGTACATCCTGGAGCCTGGATTTAATTCATGTTTATAGATAGTGGTGAGTCAGACAGCGTCAGAAACCACATAATCAAGTCTAGTGGAGAGGACTTAAAGGCCCATAATCATGGAAAACTGGATTTTACTCAATTAAATAGTGTGATGTAAACATTCACTCCCCTCTCCATACAGTCCATATATGGCAACCAAGCTACAAAAACAGCCCATATTGAGTTCACTGTTTTTGTGATGTCATAAAAACCAACCCATTTACATATATCCACCTATTCAGCTGACAGAAGTTTGGCTCCACTCATTCATGCTGAAGTTATAAGGAGTGTTTCAGCCTAGGCTGCTTTCTGAATGAAGCCTAATGCATGGTAGCCAATCAGAATAGACCTCATTTACATATATCAGTATTAAAGGCACAGTAACAAAAACAGCATTCGTTTAAAAATGAGTCATGAAAGTTTTTTATACATAAAACCACACAAACATTATAAGTGGACCTCAAAAGAATAATATAAAATACAAGAACAATGTAGGATATGGGCCCTTTAATAAGTATAGAATTTAGTAAGTAGTCTGATTTTATTTGATGCGGGGGGACGTGCGGGAGAACGTGCGGGAGAACATGCGGGAGCTGTGTGGACTTTTGCTTTTCCTTTTTCAGTGTTTACTGTTACTCTTTGTTTCCTCTCTGCATGTGACTCTCTGCACTGACGCTGACTGTGAGCCCTGTACTGGTTTTGTCTCTGCAGAAAATCTTCATTGTTCCTGTCAGTCCGAGTCAAAAGGAAATTCCCTACGCTCGAGTGAACCATAACAAGTACATGGTGACTGACAAGGTTGCTTACATAGGTATGAGAACAGATCACACTAACACTCCATCTGACCATCAGATAACTACTATAAATTATTCAGAATCTACTATGAATTATTCAGCATCTGTTACAAATTATTCAGTGTCTACTACAAATTATTCAGTATATACTAAGAATCATTCAGTGTCTATTATGAATTATTTAGTGACTACTATGTATTATTCAGTATCTGCTTTGTATTTTTCAGTATCTACTATCTACAGTAACTACTATACATTTTTCAACAAATATGAATTAATCAACATCTACTATGAGTCAGTATCTAATATTCAGAAAATAAAATGAATTATTCTGGAAATTATTCAGTATCCACTACAAAACTATTATGCAAGCTCTGTAGTTATGTGAGTGAGGATTTTGCCATTTTCCTCTACAGAAATTGCTCAACTGAAGAAGCACATGATATAAGCCCTACTTTGAGAATAAAGCCAAAGGCCACGCCCATTTTCTCCCCTTGTTGTGATGTTAGCACTCACTTGCACTCAAACCTCATTCATTCACTTATTTATTTATTTAGACAAGACCTGCTCTTCATACCAAGGAAGATACTGATGAACATGAAGCTGAGTGTTGAAGATACATACGCACAGAGCTTGTTTATCATAAACTTAACCTTTCAGAGACTTTTTTTCTTCAGGAGTGAAAATCAAACCCCTCTGTTAATGCTTTTTCAGTCTCATGCATAAGTCTGACACTATAACAAATGACCACTAGATGGTGCCGTAAACCTCAAGCCACATTATTTGACCTCCCTTTTTTTTATGCATGTTTGTGCAGGAACGTCTAACTGGTCTGGGGATTATTTCGTGAACACGGCTGGTTCTGCTCTGGTGGTGAATCAGACTTCGGCCCAGTCTGCGGCTCTGACGGTCCAGCAGCAGCTCCAGGCTGTGTTTGAGAGAGACTGGGATTCTTCATACAGCACTCGGCTCAGCCACGACTCCAACGTCAAGGACATATGCAGAATCCCGCGCAGCCAGCAGGAGGAGCTGTAGGCAGCAGTTTCATCGTGACTGGTCGGCCTTGTGGCTACCCATTATTCGTTTCCTGCCCGATTTGTAGCGCGCATGCATACGGTACATTATATTTACATGCACTACCCGATCCATGCTGCACGCCGGAGCATTTGCAGATCTGTAATGAAATGATAGGTTCCCAACACTTTTTACGTCTGTAATTTAATCTCTTCCATGCTGGATTAGTATGTTATGCTACCTGCTATGGATAAAACACCTCTCTTTAAGGTTTGTTTATCTTCCTGAGGGGTTTTGCCTTTAGCATGGTTGCGATAGCATAAAAAACTAAAGCAAAATATAGACGTTTTCACGCTAAAACAGAATTAAAACAGCGCTGAGCATTTATACCTCTCGTCTCCCTGTGCTCTAAGCTGAATGCCTTTTCACCCACAGAGCCTGTTTACACCTCGCATTAACATGTGTTGCTTGTCCAGATCGTATCTGTATAAACTTTGTCCTTTTACCTTTTTAATTCATCCTCAGTGTGACCAGAAGAGATCTGACCGGGGCTCCCAATCGTCCCTACCGTCTTCAGCATTGTCCCTGTCATCAGGAGATCGCGAGTTCGATCCCTGGTGATGCTACAGCCATCCATTGCTGGGAGTCCAAGAGAGCACAGTTGTCCTCTCTCTCTCTCTCTCTGGGTGGGCAGGATGGCCCTCCGTCTCCCCCCATCACTTATGCTAGTCAGCACAGGCGTCTGTTAGCTGACGTAACAGATTTGGTGGTTAGTGTTTTCCTCCAAGCGCGTTCAGCTGTCCAATGACGCTGCCTTAGTGCCAGGTTGGAAAGATGTGGTGGAGCTTCATAGGACCCTGAGGAAGCCTATGTTTCCCTTCACCTTCCTAGAGCTGGAGGTAGCGTGGGACTGGGGGAGTCTTAACTAGTGGGTGGAACTGGATACAACTAAATTAGGGAGAAAAATGGGGGAAATATAATATAAGAGAGATCTAATTGAACTTTTTTCGGAGTAAAATGAACATAACCACAGACGTCATTTTCATTTTACTTTTGTTTACCTTTTGCCCTGGTACGATATGAGCAGACAAGCTTTGTTTCACCAGCCTGGAGTGCATGAAGGCTCTTGGCTTTGGGAACTTCAGCCTCACTTGTGCTTCATTTTCCATTTCATTATTTACCTGCTCACCTGCCAGTCAGCGCTCAACACACGCAACTGTAAATGAATGTAAATGTCAAGATCTGACTGGAATCCCGAGGGTGTTTAAGACCTGCCTTTTCATGCAGTCACGTGAAATCTGAATTAATCCGATCATCAAAAACGCTTAATGCAGGGTGTAAACAGGCCAACAGATGGATAGAAGGAAACTTGAAAGGCCACAACATGAAAAACTTTAAAAAATAAGATTTATTAAAGTTTCAAAACGTGTCATTCACTCTCCAGTACACAGTCAGTACATGGAAAACAAGCAGCAAAAATGCCCTGTTTGAATGAGTTGTTGTTCTATATGTTGTTCTATAAGACAACTCACACTGAAGTTATAAGGGGTGTTTCAGGGCGGACTGCTTTGTGAACAGTGCAGCCAATCAAAGATTCTATCAGAGCTCATTTACATATAACAGTCTTAAAGGCACAGTAACAAAAAAAGCCTGTTTAATTGTGAGGGGTAAAGAGAGGCTGGAAAATGATCATGTAGAAATGAATATGGCTGTTTTTGGTGCTTAAGCAGGCACAAAGTCATTAGTGGACTTCAGGGGAGAAAGAAAAAAGTAGGACAGGCATCATCTAATACTAAAAAGATGTCCACAATTTGCAAATAGTAGAGTAAGTCTAATGAAATGAATCTGTTTATGCTAATATGATGCTACCTAAGAGAGTATGTGCAATATCTCCCAGGACAACAGCAGCAGACTGGGCCAAAATAAACAAACCCAAAGCGAAACTGGTTTTTCTCATAATTAGCTCGTCGGAAATTGAGTGTTTCGGCTCAGTATAGTCACAACAGTCTAGCAATCATGAAAATAGCCACGAGCTGTAATCATGACGGGAAAATAATCGCTAAAGTGTAGTGTGATATGCAGAGTGACTCGCTGCTGTGAATAAAATTCATAAAATTATATAAAATGACAGGCATGGGTGGTACATATCGGGCAGTGCTGTAAAATGTGTCGTATGCATGCGTCACATTGTTGTGCATGAGCACCACAAATCGGGCGAGGACGCAGGTCAGGTAGCAACAGGCCTTTTACTGTGTTAGTGCTGTTTAGAGCCAAACTGTCTGCCACATCTGCAGCGTGTGGTCAGTTACCACGGTCACATTTACAGCACACAAGATGGGCTGAAGCAGCTGCCCATTGGCTGCTGTTGTAACTGTTAGGGCTGTCATGTTTGAAATTAAGAATATGAATAACCACAGTGAACTCGAGATTTGCAAGCCAATATTATGTTATGTCTCCTAAATCCACCACGGGGCGCTCTTCCCGTAACCAGCACAGGTGGCTGCAGCAGCTGTGTGGCAGATTAGCCACCTGGTAAATATAACCGTGATTATTAGCCACAAAGTGTCCACATTCAGAGCGTTGGCTGGTCAGAAAAATCTGAAGCAGAAAATTCTGTTATCTCACACAGGAATGTATTTTAGCATGTTAGCACTAATCGGTCTATAAAGTAAACCTGTCGCCTCTTTCTGAACGACTGAGCTGCTGAAAAGCGGCCGGATGTTGGTAGATATCCCCATACAGTTCCAATTTAAAGCTATAAGAAATAGTAATGGGTTTTGTCTCTATTTGGTAGTTTTTCCTTTGAATTTGACAAATATGCAAATATTGAATTTTATTTTAACAGCTCTAGTGTGTTTGGACTCATTGGCTTTCCTGTTCTTTTCTAAGTACAGGGAAACACAGTGAAATGTCCACTGGAACTGACCGTGCACTTCAGGTGCAGCAGACAGAGATGAGGTAGAGTGTGGAGTTTTCCTTCAACATCTTTTTGTTTTTTTTTTTGTTATTTGACCTCATTTTGTGTCACTCTCTGACGCAAATTGTAGAGTTAGAACACAAAATCTAAGTGCTTAAAATAAACAAGGCCAGTCTGCCGGACCCAGATTAAGCCTAAACCTAGACTAAATGGAATTTCTAATGGTAAAACACCATTATCATTGCATTTTAGTCCAGTCTAGGTTTAATCAGGGTCCACAAAACCAGCCTTAAGTGTAGTATATTAACGGGACATACGGACGGGTTAAGAGCAGGTCTGTTTTGAGAGCGTCTGGGCAGGTGGGGATCTTCTCTGTGGACTCCAAAACTGCTGCTTCAGTAACGTCCTCTACAAAGTCCTGCATGATGCTGGCCACTTAAGTGTATTTATGGTATTTTTTATACTTTGGTACTTGGTGCACAGAGGACAGCGTTGGCTTTTCTGTCCTGCACTAAAGAATCACCAGCCGAAATTCTAAGGGAACGATCAACTGGGAAGCTTTAAAAATGCCTTTCGTTTTAAAACGGACACTTTTCCTTTACTAATAACCATTTTTCTCTTTTCCTCCGTTACCACAGACAGCATTACGATCCATTTGCACATTATCAGTAACACTCCTGTAAATGTTCCTCTGTTCAGACACAGAGCCAGTAGCATGTTTCCGTGCGGACTCAGGGAGGTGTGTGTGGGGTTCTTAGTACTTTAACAGGGTTTTTGGTTTAGACTAGATCTTATTTTCTTTTTCTTTGAGTGTTGCTGTGTGGCAGACATACGAGTATTACAGGATTATCAAGTTATATCCATTTCAGGTCGATGACGACCGAAAAACAGAGACCCTCCAGTTACGATGGTCACCTTAAAGGGGAAGCCCACTGATTTCTGCGTAATTCAGTGTGTGAGATGTAAACAGAGCGATTTAGAGTGGTTTGGTGTGAAATGGTTGATTGTAGAGACTCAGATTTCTTTAGTGTCTCTGTTTACATGCAAAGATGTTCACCAGTCCGGTTTAATTCATTCTGATTTCAGATTAAGACTGAGGTGTTTATTCTCACTCTACTCAACAGTCTAATGAAAGTCTCTGTTTACAGGTGCACTACAAGTAATCTGATCCAAAATTATTATATTATTACCGATTAGTGTAGACGTTACCATGACAACGAGCATCACCGTTGTTTTTGGTTTTTTTATCATCTGTTTTTAATTTGCTCTGTAGTTTGTGTGGTTCATCATCACAAAACAGTGTGTTTACATGCACTTAATAATCCTAATCTGATAACTGTAGAAAATCAGGTTTTGTCAGTAATCCGATCAACACGTTTTCATGCTCTTGGGCAATCAGATAATGGGGAAACTCTGGGTCTATATGAGTTAGACAGTAATCAGATTTCTGCTTTACAACCAGCCAATAAACTCACAGAAGAAGACGCGACGTAAACGTAACGTAAAACTCAAACTTCGTGGGTGCTTTTTTTTAAACATCGAGCCACTTTAGCTGAAAATATGAACATACATCATTTAGAAGATGAAGAATATTTAAATCTTTCATTTTGTCGAGTAATTAGTCAATTTCCAAGTGTTCTGCTGCGTCTCGTGGCGACACTGCTCGCTTAGTTCTGGTACCGCCATCTGTTCCGCACATGCACAGACTGAGAAATCTGAAAGAAATCAGAGTAGGAGTTCACATGCACTGGGAAATCTGATTACTGAGCTAAAATCCAGCCTCTTAATCAGATTTCTAGACCTTTTCTACGGTCTAAGAAATCAGAGCGTGCTGTTTACACGATCACTTAATAGTCAGATAACTGCAGAAATACGATTATGATCAGATTATTAAGTGCATGTAAACACATTCAATATCTGTCATCAGGCAGTGAATTCATAACCATTTCATGTAGGAACTTTCTGTGAGGGAGCTTTTAGAGGTGGACGTCTGGTTCCTATCACCACCACTGAACAGTTCTGACTCTGTAAGTTTATCTAGAACAGAGCGTTTCACACCAAACCACTCTGAACCACTCTGATTACAGCTGATTCTACAGTTTATAGTTGATTTTTCACTAAACTATCACTTTAATGACAGTGCAATACAGGACATTTTAGCAATTTTAGCACATCCAGGTTTTCCTCACTCTGTCCTGCACATTTTACTGTTTTTTTCTGCTCTAATCAAACTGATTTAACTCATCTGCTCACTAACAAACCCTTCAGTGAGATTAAATGTCTGTATTAAAGCAGGAAAACACAAAAATGTACAGGACACAAAGAATCCTGGGGAGCTTTTCACAAAGCAGGATTTCTGAGTTAACCGGATAACTCGAGGGTGGTCCAACAGGGATGTCTCTGGGCTGTTTTCCTATTGGACGGGCTTGACTTTAGGTTTAAGTTACCTGGCTAAACTGCTAAATCCTGCTTTGTGAAATTCCCTCAGGTGTCTCCAGTGTCATTTTCTAAACCATTCTGTGTTGCAATATTTGCACATAAGCTGTTATTGCAGTGCAGAGTGCTTTAGAAAATGACACTGGAATAAATTAGACCAGTTAGAAAAAATATATTAAAGGGCCCATATCATGGAAAACTGAATTTGTCTTGCTTTGCTGAATAAAGAGTTTGATGTAGTATGTAAACATTGTTAAAATATCAAAACATACCTTTTACTCCCCGTGCCATACAGTCTATATATGGAACTTAAACTGCAACAACAGCCAGTCGTTTTTTGTGATGTCATAAAAAAACAATGCATTAACATACATCCACTTATTCAGCCTACAGCAGTTTAGCTCCGCCCATTCAGGCTGTTCAGTTATAAGGAGTGTTTCAGCCTGGACTGCTTTTTGAATGAGACACAATATAGAGCAGCCAGTTGTAATAGAGCTCATTTACATATATCAGTCTTAAAGGCACAGTTAACAAAAACAGCCTGTTTAATTCTAAGAGATGAAGTCATGTAGAAATGAATTGCAACTATTTTTGTTACATAAAACCACAAACATCACAACTGGACCTCAGTCAAGAAAATAAAATACAAGAAAGTGTAGGATATGGGCCCTTTAATGGTAAAACAAAGCAAAAGTTAAAGAAGCTCAGGAAATACTTGACTTAACAATTATTTTTTAAGACAGCTGAGTGTGTCTGGTGAAACTTTATTACTCGGTTACTCTGCATATCTGGTTGATGTACTGTGACTATTGTATCTATTGTATCTTTTTAACAAACTGCATTCTTACTGTCTTTATTAAATGGACTGCTTTATCTCATTTTCATCACTCATATGATGTTTATTTTTGCTGTACACTTTATAAGTCAACATGCTCTAAATTCAGCACAGGATGATCTGCCAAATATAAATTGTGATTAAACTCTGAGGTGTGATGTGTTGTTTATGTGTCTGGTGTGTGTGTGTGTGTGTGTGTGTGTGCGCGCGCGTGTGCAGTCTGCTGGGGTCCAGTAGATGCAGTTAAAGCTGCAGGTCCTCCACCCTCAGTGTTACACAGACGACTCCACTCTCAGTGCAGGTGGGGGTGTTACAGTGAGGACTGTCCACTACAGCAGGCCACTGGACACTGACGTTACAGGAGTAATCGGCTTCATACGGGACTAAACAGACGTCCTGCTGGAAAGAGAACGACAGTGGAGGAAAGAACAGGCAGTGGATTTAAAGTGACAGTATGGCAGAAAAACTAATTACCCCACAGTTTAGGTGTTGGGCTGAGGATATGGATGGATGGATAGATAGAGCTATCAGGCATTACATTCTGACCACCTCCTTGTTTCTACGCTCATTGTCCATTTTATCAGCTCCACTTACTATATAGGTGCACTTTGTAGTTCTACAGTTACAGACTGTAGTCCATCTGTTTCTCTGATACTTTGTTAGCCCCCTTTTACCCTGTTCTTCAGTGGTCAGGACCCCCATGGACCCTCACAGAGCAGGTACTATTTGGGTGGTGGATCATTCTCAGCACTGCAGTAACACTGACCTGGTGGTGGTGGTGTGTTAGTGTGTGTTGTGCTGGTCTGAGTGGATCAGACACAGCAGAGCTGCTGGAGTTTTTAAACACCTCAGTGTCACTGCTGGACTGAGAATAGTCCACCAACCAAAAATATCCAGACAACAGCGTCCTATGGGCAGCGTCCTGTGACCACTGATGAAGGACTAGAGGACGACCAACACGAACTGTGCAGCAGCAGATGAGCTATCGTCTCTGACTTTACATCTACAAGGTGGACCGACAAGGTAGGAGTGTCTAATAGAGTGGACAGTGAGTGGATACAGTGTTTAAAAACTCCAGCAGCACTGCTGTGTCTGATCCACTCACACCAGCGCTACACACACTAACACACCACCACCACATCAGTGATACTGCAGTGCTGAGAATGATCCACCACCCAAATAGTACCTGCTCTGTGAGGGTCCATGGGGGTCCTGACCACTGAAGAACAGGGTAAAAGGGGGCTAACAAAGTATCAGAGAAACAGATGGACTACAGTCTGTAACTGTAGAACTACAAAGTGCACCTATATAGTAAGTGGAGCTGATAAAATGGACAATGAGCGTAGAAACGAGGAGGTGGTCATCATGTTGTGCCTGTTCGGTGTAGATAGATAGACAGACAGACAGACAGAAAGATTCCTGATAGAATTTTGTGTTTCAACAGCAACTACAGAACTTTATAAATCACAGGAGACATTGAGAATTTCAGAATTTACAGATCAGCGCTGTGGATTTACAGCTCTGTGCTTGAAATAAAATAATGATTGTTATGGAAACTGATGATCTGCTCACCTCCAGCTCAGAGTAGCTGCAGAGCTGCTGACCCTGAGCTAAACAGTCCTGATGATTCGGCAGCGTTTCAGCTGTGAAGAACTGTGGAGGGTCACACGGTTCTTCAGGAGGGTCCAGTGGCTGAGGAGAGAAGAACGTCTCCTGGGAGATACCGGAGGCAGCTGAGAAGGAAGAATTCCCAGCATGCACCTGGAGTGAGGAGGGGTAACTGGTGGGGTCGGAGCGAGACGCATGTGCGTTTAGCTGTTTGAAGGATTGCATAGTTTTGTTTACTGGGGTTAGCATGAAGTCTAGCTCAGTCTGAGGCCACCTCAGTGAAACGTTGACCAAGCCGTGTTCAGCATCAATGGACTGTGGGCCAGCCTGGAGCTCATTGACCACATTAGCATTTTGACCAGGTCCAACAGCAACATCTCCAAACCAGCCAGCTTGAGCTTCTTCCAGGCCTCCAGTATCAGCAGTGCTCAGCTCCTCCACCTTCTCAGTCATGTTATGCACTTGGTTTAGCTTATAGGTTCCTACCAGCTGCAAACCACAGCATGGATCATGGTGCTTTGGATCAAGGCCATGTGCTCTCGAGTTGGACCCATCACAGAATGGTTGGTTGCCATGGTGATCTCCTTCTGAACATTGATGGCTAGCTTCTTCTTGATTGCTCAGTTTCTGGTGGAAAACCCCTCATGTGTTGATCTTCGTAGAACGGAGGTGGATTTTGAGGTTCTGCTGTTGGGTTGCAGTTGTGGTCACTGTGATCTTCAGATGACCTGTTAGGAATTAGAGCTTTCTGAAGCTCCTGGAATGAAAGGTCATAATAATGTGTTTTTGTGCTGTGAAGGTGAGTTAGAGTTATAAACGGATGTTGGAGAGCGGCATTGGGGTTTATCCTATGACGGGAGTCGATGGTCAGCATTTGTTTGATGATTTCTGTCATACAGTAGCGGTCGGCAAGCTCGGCAGCTGTGTCTTCTCTTCCAAACGCCTGGTCATGTTCTGGACCATGCACACTGTACAGCTGGTCCAAAGATCTGAGGATATACTTCCTCCGTTCAGGTGTACCAGAGTCCTCTCCTTCTGTATGACCTCCATAAGGTCCAGTTCCCTGCCCAGTAGGCCTCAGCTGCCACATCAGGTTACCATGCACCATCTTGACGAGTTTGAAGAACAGGTTGGTTTTGGTGGCCATGTTGAGAAGGTGTGGGCTCGGCAGGCCTTGGGTTTCGCAGATGTAGCGCACCTGCTCAAACTCGGACTCACCTGGATACAGAGGCCAGCCCAGGTAAAGCTCTGCCATCACGCAACCTAATGACCACATATCCACCTTTTCACTGAAGGGCAGGCCGAGGAGAATCTCTGGAGATCTGTAAAACCTGAGAAGAGGAATGATGAACGTGCTTGAGATTAATATAAACGTTGAAATGAGCATAAAATTAATTGATTTAGTCTGTAATACAGGGTGTCCCAAAAAAATTGACATTATTTCATAGTCTAATAACAGCCAATTCTCCCTCAAATTATCTCAAATTTTAACAAAATGTGTAAAAACTAACCAAGTTTAATTTTTAATGTTTTTTTTTTTCAGGTTGAAGAATGGCGTTCACTAGAAATAAAAAGGCATTTTGTGTGTTAGAATATGCTCGAACAACTTGAGGAAATTCAATAAAAATGCACCAACTAGAAAGCAGATTTGGACATGGCACAAAAAATTGATGCTACAGCATGTTTGGCTAGGAGCTGGACTACCGACTTGACGTGTGTCGCGTCACAGGCGGTGCACATATTGAACATTTGTGAAGTTTGTGGAATCGGTTATAAAATCTACATCCCTCTGAATTTCTTGTTCGAATTTTGATAAATAAATCTTGTATTGTTCAACATGAAGCCTATTTAATTTCATTTGCCTCGGACATGTAGTTACTCAGTTATTCACATCTGAAATGATGTCAATTTGTTTGGGACACCCTGTCTTATATGTGTCGTCTACTGTAATGTTAAAGCTGCACTGTGTAAGTTTTTGGGGATTTGACCTCTCTGGTGGAAATGTGTAATTGCAAGCAACATGCAGAAGAACAATACTTCTTTCAATTTTAACCAAAAAATGTCTGTGCAACTCACCTTGTTTTAGATATGTATGTGTCATATAATATTTATCATCAATATATATTATAAAGGTGGGTATGTAGTGTGTCTTGTATCTATACCATAATATATAATATGTTACTAAATCTTTATAACAGTATATAGTAACGGTATATAGTAGCTGCTAAAAATTATAAATGTTTATATACATTAACAATATTATAATCTTAGTGTAAATGTATATAAATATTACAATATTACAAATACATTATAACATAACATATGCAACATATACATTGTTGATACACATTAGTTTTACTATGCTATATATCATGTATCTATTTATTTTATTATTATATCATATTACATATCATTTATTGTATGTTACATCATAATATGTAGTTTATGTTGTTTATTGTTCACAATGTAAATGTATTTTGCACTGTAAACATTATATATAACGTACAGTGTAAGGATACATGCCATATTATAATGTTTGGCCAAGCTCGTTTAAATAAATGATATATATTTTATCTTGAATTTACCTTTTAAAGGGGAAAATCCGCTGGTATTTAAAAATTGGTGTATAATTAAATGGTTAAGATGTAAACAGAGTCATTGAGAGTGGTTTGGTGTGAAACGCTCTGATCTAGAGAAACGTACCGAGTCAGAATTGTTGACAGTGGTGGTGATAGGAACCAGACGTCCACCTCTAAAAGCTCCCTCACAGCAAGTTAACTTACTACATGAAATGGTTATGAATTCACTGCCTGATGTCTAAGACTGTTTTATGATAGTTTTGGAAGATTTCGACCTTAAAATCCATTCATGGTGGAGGGATACATAAAATGCAGGGTTTTGTGAGGTAAAATAGTCCCCAAAGAAAACTTAGTATTTCAGATTTTCCACTTTTTTACCATCATCAACATTCCATATAAACTCAGAAGACTCATGTAGGCGACTTTGTTCACATCTCAGTCACTGAATTATACAGAAATTTTGTAAAATTGATAGATGTTTAATGTGTTATGTAGTGTACCTTGTATTTTATACAATAATTCTCAGAGATTCAGTTTTTCCAAACCTGGATTGGATGTAGGGCTCTTTGACAAAGTGCACGTCTTTGAAAAAGCTGGCCGAGCCGAAATCTATCAGTTTGACCCTGAAGGGGAAGCGAAGCTGGTCCACGATCATGACATTTTCGGGTTTGATATCTGCGTGGATGATGGCCATCTCTTTGAGTTTGTCCAGCGCTCTCAGCAGCTGGCAGCTGATGGTGCGGATGTGGCGGACGGGCAGAGGGCTGAAGTCGTTCTCCTTCTGGAGCTCATGCAGGTTCTTCTCCAGCATCTCCAACACCAGGAAGTGCTCAGTGTGGTGTCGAAAGGAATCGATGAAACGAATAATGTGACTGTTGTCCACGTCTGACTGGGCCAGGGCCGCCGTAAGCCGCAGTTCATTAGTGATTAGTCTTCTCATGTGGGCCCCAGTGGGCAGGGCCTTCAGGGCCACCAGCTCTCCATCACTGGCCCTCCAGCACTGCAGAACTTTCCCAAAAGTGCCCTTCCCCACCACGGCCAAAGGGTGGTACACCTCAGTGTCCGAGTAAATGTCCTCCATCTTCTCCTCTGGTCAAGCTCATTTCAATAATAAACACTCTGGTAAACAAGTACACACTGATGGAATGTGATGCAACAATGGCAAAACATTCCACAGTAACGTTACATTCCTTATTTGTTTTGCATAGTGCGGCTATTCTTTCTCTAATATGGTGAAAGAAACTTGATTAGAGAAATGTAGACTGTAAACCAATGAACAATACATACATATATACACACATACACACACACACCCACACACACACACACATAATATATATATAATAGGTAGAAAAATGCATTTCCTGAAGAAATTGCAGAGTGATTGTGCAGCTTAGTCATTTCCCGGGTGGTTGCTATGGTTGCTAAGGCAGTTACTATGGTATTATAGATGGTTGTTATGGTATCCCAGGTGGTTGCTAGGGTGCTGTTATTATGGTACAATAGTACGAAACCATATATCCGATCAAAAAGCTGTATATAAGCACGTCATTCCTGATCAGACCGGACATTCTGGGGTTGGAACGGTGTCAATATCGTGAAAACTGCAGATAAAAATCTGGCAGAAAAATATGAAGAAAAAGAAGAATATGTTGGATAGCAATAGTGTTGTGTATTGCTTTGCAATGAGCAATCACTAATAATAATAAACTGCAGTCAGTTCTTATTAGTTCTGAGTAATATTTTATTAATGTAAATTGCTTTGGCTGGTTTGTCTGAACAGAAATATCTTTCTTATTTTCAAATTCAGCAGAATCAAAGTCTGTACATGCAGGCAGCAGCATTATTATATGCTTATAGATGTACTGTAACTTTTAAAGTTGTAAAACATTTAAGCTGTTCATTTATCAAGTGATTTTAAAACCTTTTAAACTGTGGTGCTTTGCCAAGTGTGTAAAGTGGCAGATTACTGGTAAAATGGTTATTTCAAATTACAAACAAATTTAGCAGTTGTTTTGGTCTAAACTCAGGCTGTACATCTTGGAAATAATTTCACATACCTGCACCAAACCGTTGTGACCTAAATGCAACATTCTCTTTTCATAAATCCTATAAAATTGTTTAGAAACTGCATCTTAAGTTTTAAACCTCAAACATAGTGGTGTGATTCTCAAACGAATCGTTCTTTAACGAACGACTCTTTTAAGTGAGTCGTTTATCATCTGAAGTATGTTCATCAGATGATGGGTATCTCAGCCTTATGTAGATATAAAAGGCTTAATGAAAAACTGATAAACTAGATTAACTTTCGTGATTATGCTTTAAATAAAACACAAACAACTTCGGAATGGCGAATCGATTCTTTCGACTCGGTTGAAAAAATACTGCTGTTGTTGTTTCTCTTGTTTCCCCACCCGTATTCTGGGAAACCCCGCCCCTTTTGTGCCACGATTGGCTCGTGGTTCACACTGACAAGCGCTCTGCTGAATCGACGGGATGATTCCAGCCAATCCCAGCGCAGGGTGAGGGATTTGGGCGGGAAAAAGGCACCAAGAAGGAGCCGAACATGGCGCTTTGTGTTTTGTGTGTCAATGAAGATGCAGAGAGCGATGAAGGGAGACTCTTAGCATCAGCGCTAGCCTGACAGAGGAGTACTGAGCGTGAACTTTTCCCAGAAACTGGTGGAGAAAATCTGCATTTTGTACCTCATTTAATGGAGAATATAATAGACAGGAAAATGGTCGCTCAAAAGCTGTTTATATTCGCCCCGCTGTTCATTTTATTAGCTGTAAAACTTTATTTTTCTCCCCTCAGCCCAGATTGGTGCCTTAATTCACCCGGGCTGAGGGACATTTCCACACAGTGGTGGGAAAAACAGCAGTATCAGTCGCTATTAGTGCTTTTTTCAGAGTTAAATGAAGGTGGTTTTGATTTGGTGATGTTTAGTTGTGAAGGTTTGGCCACTGCACACAATACTTACTGAGGTAAGTCAACCGATGGGGTTCAAATAATAGTAGTAATTAAAAATAATAATCATAATAGTTATTAACCCAGCTGGAACAGTGTTAAGCTATACTGCTGAAGCTAATAAAAGGCTAAACACTTGTTGCAGGTGTTTTTTAAATTAAATATTAAAAAGGTATCTTTTTTTATTAGCTCGTGTAAATCAGAACTCTCCAATCGAGCTGAAAACAAATTGAGATTTTTCACACAAATTAGAAGCATCAGTATTTTATTATTATTATTATTATTATTATTATTATTTACAGAACCATTTATACATGGAAATGTGTTTCAAGGTGCCTTTCAAGTTGTGCCACCGTGATCCATCTTACATTAGACTTGATCATTTTCTTATTTTTTCATGTTCAATCCAAGTTATCTCGGATTTAAATTAACAATTATGTTTTTAACTGCCTAATAACGTTAAAAAATGTGTAATTTAAATCACAGATTTATTATTTCAATCTTTTGTTGCAATTCAGTCACACGTGGAATAAACTAAGTTAGTCTCTAATCTCCTATCATTGTGAATCAATTCAGAAATGCTAAAGCAGGAATGGAAATATAAATGATAAAACTCTAAATAATAGCTTAAGTGGCCTTTTTATGGTCCAGCACAGTCCATATTTCTTATATAAGACTTGAATTTCCACAATTTGCGAATCATTCCCATAATTTTTTATTTATGCCTTTGAATCTCATTCATGCCAAAGGTTACACAGTAAACGCTGATTTCAGTTTTTTGGCTTCTGAGTTTTAATTAGATTCAGTCACCAATTTATAGTGTATGGAGAACCGATCCCTCCCAGTTAATCTCTCGGACAGCCCTGACGGCTCCCGCTGGTGGACGTGGTACGTGCCGGGTGCCAGGGTGTGTCTGAGGCTGGGCGGATCCATGGCAGGAAGCCGGGGGGGTCAGGAGGAGGATGTCCTGTGTTTATAGAGTATAAGAAGTTTATAGAATGTTTATAGAGTTAAAAAAAAGTGTAACTGGTCCACACTGGTCCCCAAGCTGATGTACACTAATGCTTCTTGGTCCAGAGAGTCCTACCTAACTATATAATTTGCAATAATAATAATAACATTTTTTTATTTACTTGTTGAGTTTAACATATTGAAAAAATAAAACATAAAATATAAAATGCCGTCATTTTTGTACAGGCCACATTTTATGTTTTATTCCGCCCCACATTGTGTCAAACTCAGTCCATAAACAATAACTGAGCATTAAAATGTGCGGAAGTGTGTTCACATATTTTCAAATCAACAGAGCATGTGATGTCCAGGGGTGCACAGACTTTTGCATACAACTTTAATGTTTTCATCTGTTTTCGAATTAAGTTTTTTTAAGTTTATTTTTTCCCATTAAGTGTTTTGGAATTATTGAATAATAATAATAATAATGATTATTATTATTATTATTATTATTATTATAACATTTGTATTTATTTACTGAGTTTAACATATAAAAAATAAGTTATAAAATATAAAATGGGCCATAATTTTTGTACAGGCCACATTTTATGTTTTATTTCCTCTAAATTAAATTTCTAAATTCTAAATTTCCTCTAAGTTAAATTCAGTAAATAAACAGTAATTGTGCAATAAAATGTGTGTTCTTGTCATGCTTCCTGGTTCTCTCTCAACTCCCATGATTCCATTATTAACGTTGTCACTAGCACGTCACTCTCACCAGAATACTAATGTGTATCACCTGTTTGTTGTCTACTGTGTGTGTGTGTGTGTGTGAGTGTGTGCATATATATGTGAATATATATTTTTATATATATTTTTATATATTTTATTTTTGTCTAATTAAGTGTTGTAATAGGCTCTGCAATGGTTTGTCATTGTTAAGTTTATTTTTATTAATTGGCTTTTGTAAAATCTCTGATTACTCAATTAATTGTCTTATTTTACTGATAGCGGCAGCCCTGAATAACAGTAACAATAGTAATAATTATATTATTTACAGTGATCACTTGTAGAACCTTGTAGAACCTCAGTATAATTCTTTTTTAAATGACTTAACAAATTAATGTTGTGTTCTCACAGTTAACAGCTGTCTCCAGTGCTATGTGAATGGACAGAGGTCGGGTGAAGGTCAGCAGGCCGTGGACGTTCCTCCATTTTCACCTACTTCACCTTCTTCCGCTGTGATGAAGCTGCAGAGACGAGTCAGAGCTGCTCTAATGTGACGTTTCACCACCGAAAAGAGCCAAAACACTGACCAAACCTGATCAGCCATGGGTTAGTATGTTTACGTGAATACATGTTTATGCTCACTGCCCGTCAAAAGTTTGGGGACGAATTTGAGTCTTCTAAGTAAGAAAAAAACCCTGAAAATGTTTGGATTATCATAATGCAGCTACAAGAACTCTCAGCTTCATGTTTATTAACTTTTTCTTCTTGGGATGAAGAGCAGGATTTAAATAAAGATTTGACAGTTTTCTAGTCTCGTTTCTTTTCTAAAGCTCATACTGAAGCTCTGTTGGTCCAAACGTGTTTTAAACACCTGAAATGTTTGAGTACTGTAGAGTGCTGACATCACAACAAAGGGGAGGAAGTGGGCATGGCCTTTGTGCTGTCAGTTATAGTGGTTCTATGTAGAAACCTGAAAACTCAGAGCCCTTTACATGATTAAAGTGTACCGTCATTGCTGCTATATAGAACCATCTACAGCACATTCTCCATCAGTCTGAAGAACCATTTTACCATGCAGAGAACGCTTTAATCCCAGGCTGCTGTTTACATTTACATTTACTTGACACATAAAATCACTACTTATTGCATTATTGTTATTTACATTTATTGATAATAATATTATAATTTATTGATATAGATATTGTTTTTAATGCTTACTGACTAACTTTCATAGGTGCTTAAAGCTTTGGCAAAGTACTGTGTATGTATATGTATATACAACGATCAGGCAATACATTCAGACCACCTCCTTGTTTCTACACTCATTGTCCATTTTATCAGCTCCACTTACTATATAGGTGCACTTTGTAGTTCTACAGTTACAGACTGTAGTCCATCTGTTTCTCTGATACTTTGTTAGCCCCCTTTTACCCTGTTCTTCAGTGGTCAGGACCCCCATGAACCCTCACAGAGCAGGTACTATTTGGGTGGTGAATCATTTTCAGCACTGCAGTAACACTGACCTGGTGGTGGTGTGTTAGTGTCTGTTGTGCTGGTATGAGTGGATCAGACACAGCAGTGCTGCTGGAGTTTTTAAACACAGTGTCCACTCACTGTCCACTCTATTAGACACTCCTACCTTGTCAGTCCACCCTGTAGACGTAAAGTCAGAGACGATGGCTCATCTGCTGCTGCACAGTTTGTGTTGGTCATCCTCTAGTCCTTCATCAGTGGTCACAGGACGCTGCCCACAGGACGCTGTTGGCTGGATATTTTTGGTTGGTGGACTATTCTCAGTCCAGCAGTGACACTGAGGTGTTTAAAAACTCCAGCAGCGCTGCTGTGTCTGATCCACTCAGACCAGCACAACACACACTAACACACCACCACCATGTCAGTGTTACTGCAGTGCTGAGAATGATCCACCACCCAAACAGTACCTGCTCTGTGAGGGTCCATGGGGGTCCTGACCACTGAAGAACAGGGTAAAAGGGGGCTAACAAAGTATCAGAGAAACAGATGGACTACAGTCTGTAACTGTAGAACTACAAAGTGCACCTATATAGTAAGTGGAGCTGATAAAATGGACAATTAACTCTTCGCCTTAGTCTATGCCAGTGCAAGCTTTTGTCAGCTGTTCGTGTGAGAGTCATGTGACACTTGATCATGTTATGTAACACCTGAGTGAGAGATTTTATGTGGCGTTGAGGACGGCGTAAGCGGAAAAAAGGCCTTTAAAAAAGTTCTAACCTCTTTCTCAGTTATTAGTTGAGTGCAGGCCTGCATGTAAAAAGTGCAAAGGTAAAGTGTTTCTTCTTTTTATTCCTCTTTCTTTTGTCCTCAAACTTTTGACAGGCAGTGTCTGTGTGAAAGCCTTTAACTCTTTACCTTCTGTACCTACGTGGGCACAGCTAACCTACAAAGACATGGTTAGTGTGGAGGGGGATAGTGTTGAGTGTTGAGGCTGGCAGCATTTTAGAGGCTTCAGCAGCTCTTAATATAATAATACAGGGTGTCCCAAAAAATTGGCATCATTTGAGATGTGAATATCTGAGTAACTACATGTCCGAGGCAAATGAAATTAAATAGGCTTCATGTTGAACAGTACAAGATTACACAGGGATGTAGATTTTATAACCGATTTCACAGCTTCACGAGGGTAATATCTTCTGATACTGGTGGTCGTCCAGACCCCTTTGCCCTGCACAGACAGCCTTCCTCTTTGAGTTTTTTGTGCCATGTCCAAATCTGCTTTCCAGTTGGTGCACTTTTATTGAATTTTCTGGAAAATGCACGCTGCACTCTCGTTAGACTGTGTTCGAGCATATTCTAACACACAAAATGCCTTTTCATTTCTAGTGAACGCCATTCTTCAACCTGAAAAACACCCCATTAAAAACTAAACTTGGTTAGTTTTTACTCATTTTGTTAAAATTTGAGATCATTTGAGGGAGCTGTTATTAGACTATGAAATGATGTCAATTTTTTTGGGACACCCTATATAATAACCATCCATGATGTTATAAACACACGTATTGTAATAACATGTTAAAAAAAACTCGTAATAAAATCCTAATGCAGTAACGTGTTTCAGGTTGTTTTCCTGCACTTAATTACCATCCTGCTGTGTCAGTGGGCAGGTTTGGTGACGAGGGTGCAGACAGCAGGCTTGTGGGGCTCCCCGAGCAGCGGGCATCGCTAACCTGCATGCTACGGCTCCAGGGACCCCTCTACACACTCAGCATGTGTGTTTGTGCCTTAAGAATGGGTGATATGGGAAAATCTAATATGTAAGTGGTACAGTAAAATGTAACAGTATGATAAAAAGCCTGTAGAAACAACTGCAGGTTCTTTTAATCCTGGGCTGTAAAACAAACTGCACTGTAAAACCTCATACATCAACTCAAGTGATTTGAGGAAACTGATTACCTCAGATATTTTAAGTTCAATAACTCATTTACACTAAAGTAAATTGAGCAAATAGTACTAACTCCATTTGTTTTGTCTATTTTAAAATGAGTCAGTATTTGGGGCTTATGTTTAAGCTGTACTAACTCAATACAATGAAGTAATTTAATTCACCGTTAAGATGAACTTGGATATCGCTTTGACAAATTCATATTGCACTGCAGAGATATGATCATGGACACTTATAACAACAATGTCTTGTCCATCTTAAAGTCACTACAGACCACCTCCTCAGATGCTGACAGATAAGTTCGGATGTAGTTTCCACAGCATTTAGCTACAACAGAACCTCACTCAGTATAGAAAAACTTAGTAATTCTGCTCTCTCAACACTGATTTTTGAACAGTACTGATTAACATGAGTCAGAAAAGTTTAGAAGTCTAGTTGAGACGAGGGAAGGTAGGCTGGGGAGAATGACAACACACAGACAGTGAAGAGACGCCTAATATGTAAATATATGATACCAAGAGCCAATAGGAATGATGTGAGTTTTACTCAAGAAGGTTGCAGTGACCAAACATTGGTCAAGTAAAGCTGAGAGTCTAAACTAAATTGCAATAAGTTTATTCAACTCAAAGATCCCGTTTGATAGGATCTTTGAGTCTAAAATCATTAAAATAAAGTTATGAAAAAAGCACAAATCATTTAAATGTAAACATTTATGATGTCTGTGACATTCAGCCACACTAAACTTTCAATAACACATTATTGGCCTGTTTGTATTTGCATGTTAAGTCAAGTTAAATAAAAATAGTGAACATAATACATTTAAATAGAGTGACCTCAACTTAAAATATGCTGAAACTTTTTACTACTTTACTCAAAATGACTGAGTTACTGTCTCAACAATTCATTTTTGAGCTGAGAATTCTTCAGATTAAATTACTCCAACTTTCTGTGGTATTTAAGTTGTGTTAACTTAATTCTTTCATTAAGATGCGCAGTGAGTCTTACAGTGTGTAGAAACAACCTCAGGTTATATTAATCCTGTGCTACAGAATGAACCATAAAAATAACTCCAGGTCATTAATGCTCTGGGGTCGACGAATGCACCGGTGCACCAAATTAGATGTTTCTTGGTGATTCTATTAATATCTTCATGATGATCCAGCACAGAAATCCAGTTCAAACACTTCCTGAATCTGCAGCGTCGCCCTTCCCATTCCATCTTATCACGAGATCATACGAGACTCGCATCCGGAGTTATGAGCCTATGAAGAGGGGCTGAGATACACGTCATCTGCCTCTCACCGTGTGGAACTGGTGGATTCGTGTGTCCATCTACATTCTGTGTGAAACTGACCGATGGACACTCAGGAAATCACTAAGGACTGACCATCACGCCGGAAACCCTTCATTCTTCATTCAGTCCACATCGGAGACTCATGTGAAACGGCGTGCAGAGAGTTTACAGCTGCTGAAGCTGCTGCAGCGGTTTTGGAAAGTAGTGATGAAGATAACATTTTATCAAGAATTTTTAAAACTGGATTTCATTTTTTCAGCTTCAGGGCTGAATTATCTCTGTACAAAGAGCTCCAGGTCAAAAGGGCCTCATTATAGAGAGCTGAGACACACCGATCAGGCATAACATTATGACCACCTCCTTGTTTCTACGCTCATTGTCCATTTTATCAGCTCCACTTACTATATAGGTGCACTTTGTAGTTCTACAGTTACAGACTGTAGTCCATCTGTTTCTCTGATACTTTGTTAGACCCCGTTTACCCTGTTCTTCAGTGGTCAGGACCCCCATGGACCCTCACAGAGTGGATCATTCTCAGCACTGTAGTAACACTGACGTCGTGGTGGTGGTGTGTTAGTGTGTTGTGCTGGTATGAGTGGATCAGACACAGCAGTGCTGCTGGAGTTTTTAAACACTGTGTCCACTCACTGTCCACTCTATTAGACACTTCTACCTTGTCAGTCCACCTTGTAGACGTAAAGTCAGAGACGATAGCTCATCAGCTGCTGCACAGTTTGTGTTGGTCATCCTCTAGTCCTTCATCAGTGGTCAAAGGACGCTGCCCACAGGACACTGTCGGCTGGATATTTTTGGTTGGTGGACTATTCTCAGTCCAGCAGTGACACTGAGGTGTTTAAAAACTCCAGCAGCACTGCTGTGTCTGATCCACTCATACCAGCACAACACACTAACACACCACCACCACGACGTCAGTGTTACTACAGTGCTGAGAATGATCCACTCTGTGAGGGTCCATGGGGGTCCTGACCACTGAAGAACAGGGTAAACGGGGTCTAACAAAGTATCAGAGAAACAGATGGACTACAGTCTGTAACTGTAGAACTACAAAGTGCACCTATATAGTAAGTGGAGCTGATAAAATGGACAATGAGTGTAGAAACAAGGAGGTGGTCATAATGTTATAGCGTAACATGTGGGTATTATGTCCTATGCAAGAGCCTTTAAAGGCGCATTAAAGAATATATGCGAAAATCAAGACCCCAGAGGGTCTCTCTTTTTTTAGCCCATGACCTCATCCACTCACTGAAGGTAATTCTCGTGTGGAGGGTGTGGTGAGGGTTCATGAGATAGTTGCGCCTCTGCTGCCCACCCATGGTGTACGTGCATGCATAAGAGTGTGAGGTCTGAGGTGGGTGTGTGAGCACGCAGACCACCCCTGGGAGACGAGGGTGGAGGTGCGATTTAGTCGGGTTCCCCACAGATGAAGCTAAATAAGATTTCAATCTAAGCAGATTTCTGTTGTTGTATGGAGTCATGCGTCCAACCCACCCTCAGCTTCCTCTGAGAGATACCAACTCTGGGAATGTTTAAGTATCTTTTATGTTTAGGACGGGATGTTTTGTGTCTTCTTTATTTGTCCAACAAAGCTAAAGAATCACAACCAGAATAATATGCCTGTTTCTTTTCTCTCTGTTTTTTGTGTTGATTTGAAGGCGTCTGCTGTCTAATAAGGACCGGAGTTGAACGTGTAAAGGAAGCTGCATTCATCTACTTTGGAGCAGCTGGACCTCACAGCAGGAGTCCTGCTGCTGGAAGATCAGACTGCAGAGAACTTCATGAAGTTGTAGTTAATTCTGGCCTGTCACAGTTACCACACAGTCGCCTGATTGGAATTATTTCAGATGATTGTAATTCAAGTTTACCACAATTATTGTTTAGTTTTTAGCTTTTCATAATCATCTGCTTCTGTTAAAAACAGACGACTTGACTACTGTAATGCTTTGTTCATAGGACGTCCTGAGTACAACCAACAAATTCCAACTAGTGCAAAATGCAGCAGCAAGAATATTAACCCGGGCTAGAAAACAGGATCATATTAGACCAGTTTTAGCATCACTGCACCGGCTGCCTGTCTCTTTTAGAATCGACTATAAAATTTTACTACTAGTTTTTAAATATCTTAATGGTTTAACACCTTCATACATTTCTGCGTGCTTTTAGATGATGTTCCTAATCCAGCTTTAAGATCATCCAGTGCTGCTGCTCCATGTTCCACGTATAAAACTTAAACAGAGCAGAGAGGCAGCGTTTTGTTTTTATTGTTACCTATGTTTTTACTGGAATATTACTATTACTTTTATGTTCCTGGTAGTCGCATTTTTTATTGTCTTTTTTCTTTTTATTTACACTTTTATCCTGTGCTTTTTAATTGTATTTATTAATGTATCCATTTTCTGCTATTTATTGTTTGTTTATTGTATTTTGTTTTTATTCTTGATTATCTTTTCTTCCTCTGTTGTTTTTACTTTGTATTGTGAAGCACTTTGAACTGCATTTTTAATGTATGAAAGGTGCTACATAAGTAAACATCATTATTATTATATTATTATTATTATTATTAGAACCTGGGTGTGTTTTCATCATTTGACCTGAGGCAAATACTGGTAAAATAAAAGAAACTACAAACACACTTATGACACTTATTTATGACCTTCTGACTGGTGCTGTAACACCTTTAGAGGGCAGCAGTGAGCAGTAATTGTTTATTTGAGCTCAGCCTGTCATCAGTCGGAAGCTACTGAGTATTGACAGCTAGGAAGCAAGATTAGTCAGCCAGTGTGACCACTTTAGGTTTGTCACTAACACACTGAACAAAAAAAGACAACTTAAATTTTTGAATTTTTTCATCAGCTATAATTCAGTGTTAGTGACAGGTATACAAGTAAGATATCTAATCAGCAAATATGGCCACTTTAGTCTGTATTTTAATAGTTGCAGACAATGAACAAGTCACGCATCCCTCCGGCTCCAGCTCACACATGGACTCCATGTCCCAGAATCCCATGGGAGATCACATGACTTCCGCAGTCATCCAGTCACTTCACAATCAGCAGAATGCTGATGTTTTTCACTTGTTCTGTGTTGTCATATGAGGAGTCTTGGGCCCAGTCCCATTTCTTCTTTTAACCCTGCCGCTTGTTTTCGAGTGTCACCCTAACCCCTTGGAACTGAGTTACAGGGTAGTGGTTGAAATCTTCCCTCTGAAATGGGACCCTCAAATAAAAAAGAGCATCACTTCATTAACAGCTACCAGCGCTGCTCTGTAGGCGACCCTGCCAGTCTGCAGTGACAGCAGAGGGTAAAGTTCAGCTCCTCACTGCTGGGCTTTAGTTACATTTAGGGCATCATATGCCTTCAAAGAGGGGGGCAATTATTTATTATCGCCCACCACTAAATCTTCAGTGATATGAGGCTGAAGTCAGATATTCACCAGATTCTTGTTCGAATTTTCCCATTCCACCTTAAATGGAGCAGCAGTTACATTTTGGCGCTTCAGGCGTCAGAACCGCTGGAATATTTAAGGTGGAACGGGAAAGTTAGCTAGCTACCGAGACATTAGCATGCTATTAGTGATTTTTATGCTTGTTATGAAGAAAAGAACCATAATACACTGAAACGATATTAAACTAAGATAATACGATGGTTATCATAATTTTTTAACAGAGAAAATTCTCACATTTGTGTGTTTCTTTGGTCTCTTGTTCTCCATCTTGCTGGTTTTTCTTTTTTTCTCATAACTCTCTGTTTGGAGTCTCTGAAAAACCTCCCTTTGGAGGGTCATGTAGCCCCAACACTTCACCCTCCCCCTCTATCTCAACAAGAATCGGGACACCCTACCCCTAGACAAGAACGCATAAAACAGAGGGCTAAGGGCTCAGTGGTAGGGGCGAGGGGTGAAATGGGACTGGGCCTTAGTGTAGTTTAAAAGCCCAGGCTTTAGATTAGTTTACTGAGTGTTTCCTGTTTGCTGTTGTTTCCACTAGCTTCAATCTCATAGCCGAGGCTACAGCCGGTAAGACTGTCCTATGTAGACTCCTCCTTAGTAGCCTATTGGTCACACCAATGCTGCGTGGTGACGTCACCAGAAAGGTCCCGCCTCTTGCAATTGCGGCGTGAAACTTGTGAGGGAAGTGGGAGAAAATGGAGACGTTGTGTTTGTTGCTGTGGTAGCCAAGACACCAACAAGCTTATGTAGTACAATAAACTGTATATATAACTATATATACAAATACCTCTGAGTAAAATACGATATTTGGACGAATCCTTAAATTAATCATTTTACACTTTATAAGGTAACGAAGACGAATTCAACTCACACTTTAAAACGAGCTCCACTCCAACGGCTCTGTTTTCCACCAGTTTCGTGATGTTTTTGTCCTTCACGTTGTTCAAAGAACCATGTGCATTTCTGAATCGTTCTTCGGATTGATGGAAAATGTGCTGTATATGGTTCTATATAGAAGCTTTTTGAAAATGGGTTCTTCTGTTGTATACAAGCTTGACACTGAGACTACAGAAGAATCCTTTTCAGGGTTTTGTATAGAACCACATGCAATACATTCTCCATCAACCTGAAGAACCACTTCACCATGCAGAGAACCATTTAGGCATGCACATGCTTTTCTCAGTGTTCGTGGTTCTATATAGAAACACACTCTTAAAAAAGATGGTTCTTTAAGGGTTCTTTCATAAAGACAGTAGTTCTATACAGAAGCAAGAACACTTAAAGAACCCTTTGCATGATTACAGTGTTCTTTGCATGGTCCAGTGGTTCTTCAGATAGATGGAGAATGTGCTGTAGATGGTTCTGTATAGAACAGAGTTCCCATGTGTCCTCTTATTCGCCAGCTCCTTATTCTAATTATCGGTTCCACCTTAAATGACGCAGCTGTGAAGTTTGAATAAGAAGCCAATTTCAGTCTCATAGCTCCGGGGCTGATAAATGCTGGATGTTCTAAGACGTTCCACTGCGGTTTGAGAACACAGTTTGTGCTTCTGCTGAAGATGTTTTTGGGAAGGTGCTTAATAACGTGATCAAAGGAAAAGAGCTAAATAGAGACTCAAAGCGAGGTTACTGGGTTAATCATGAAGTTCTATCTGTTGTTGTGACTCTCTGCCTCGTGTTTTGTTGTTTGGGAGGCTGTAAATAAATCAGCCCATTCTTTTCCCTCAGCTGCTCTGAGTCAGTTCAGCTCTGATGAGCATGTAGAGCTCCAGTAATTCATTAAATTACTGAAGTCCTGCTTCCAGCAACAGCCCAGTGGATTAAGCAGAAAGCTTTAAATAAACCATCGATTCTGGTTCAGCTCGGTCTGAGTCACTGTGCTCTCTGGAGACGCCGGACTGTATGATCAAACTTAAGGCAGAGCAAATAAACGCATATCACTCAGCTAAACGGCTTAAAGATCGTTTTCTCAGTTTCTCATAAAACCTGGAGACATTTTTGCAATATGTGATATCAAAATGTTCAATTTTGAAAAAACAAGTCAGAGAAAACAAAATAAACCATCAAAATGGAAGCACACTCTTTAAAAAGATGATTCTTCAAGGGTTCTTTAGTTAAGACTGGTTCTATATGGAACCAAGAACACTCAAAGAACCATGTGCATGCGAATGTGTTCTATATGGTTTTATATAGAACCTTTTTGAAAATGGATTGTATTGTATACAAGCTTAACATCGTGACTGTAGAAGAACCTTTTTGGGGTCTTCTCATGTGCATGCCTAAATGGTTCTCTGCATGGTGAAGTGGTTCTTCAGGTTGATAGAGAATGTATTGCATGTGGTTCTATACAAAACCCTGACAAGGGTTCTTCTATAGTCACAGTGTCAAGCTTGTATACAACAGAAGAACCCATTTTCAAAAAGCTTCTATATAGAACCATATACAGTACATTCTCCATCAATCTGAAGAACCCTTTCACCATGCAGAGAACTTTAGGCACACAAATGCTTTTCTGAGTGTTCATGGTTCTATATAGAAGCACACACTTAAAAAAGATGGTTCTTCAAGGGTTCTTTAGTAAAGAAAATGGCTCTATATAGAACCATGAACACTCAAAGAAACCCCTTACATGACTACAAGGTTCTTTGCATGGTGAAATGGTTCTTCAGATTGATGGAGAACGTGCTGCATATGGTTCTATATAGCAGCAAAAAGGCTCTTCTACAGTTACGATGCCAAGCTTGTAACAATAGAGCAACCCTTTTCAAAAAGGTTCTATATAGAACCATTTAGAGCACATTCTCCATCAATCCGAAGAACCATTGCACCATGCTAAGAACGCTTTAAGCATGCAAACGTTTCTTGTATTCTTGGTTCTGTATAGAACTACTGTTTTTATTAAAGAACCCTTAAAGAACCATCTTTTTTTAGTGTGTGCTTCTACATAGAACCATGAACATTCATCATCTGCATACCTAAATGGTTCTGTGCATGGTGAAACAGTTCTTCAGGTTGTATATGGTTCTATATAGTACCCAAAAAGGCTCTTCTACAGTTAAAATGTCAAACTTTTAACAACAGAAGAACCCTTTTGGTTGCTATATAGAACCATTTCAACAAGCAAAGAACCTTTTAATCATGCAAATGTTTTTTAGGTGATCTTGGTTCTGTATAGAACTACTGTGTTCATTAATAAACCCTTGAGGAACCATCTTTTTTAAGTTGAATGATGATTTCAGTGATACGGTTGAGTACATATCATATTTGTTTGTGATTTATTTTGACATCTAGACCATCTTAGGCTCTGTGAATTAAATGGGTTCTAATACTGATGTTCTGAAGTAACTAATGGGTGTGTAGTTTGCTGAGGGTTCTCAAATACTGCATTTATTCTATTTACTTTGCCCTCATTTTCATTTTTGCTGTTCATGTTTAACATCTGGTTGCTTGTTTGGGTTTGATTTGATTTCTTGTGTTGGTTCTGCTGCTGTTCTGCTTCCCTGTTAATCTCTCCTCTCTCTCTGGAGCTTTAGCATTTTATTTCAGACCAAAAACAGAAGAACAGAGCCATATAGTCTTAAAGGGGAATTCCACCATTTTTTTTTAATTCCTGAATAATTCAGTCTTAGAGATGTGAACAGAGTCATTCAGAGAGGTTTGATGAGAAATGGTTCATTGTAGAGAAACTTACAGACTCAGATGTCTTTACAGTGGTGGTGATAGGAACCAGGGGTCACCATGTCTATAATACAAATCTTGCCAGTTTATTTATTATCCAAATCATCAGTGAACCTACACAAGTCTAGTGAGTTTTTATAAGTAATGTTGATAATGCTAAAATAAGCTTTTCTCAGG